GGCGAGGAGCGGAGGTTAGGATCACTTAAATTTTGGAAATCGTGAAGACCCCGCTCCCCGTTGCCGCGCGATCCGAGCCGGCGGATTTCTCGCGGGATTTCCGGCGATTTTCGGCGGTCGCGTGGCAATCGGGCCTCGAGTCGGGAGCGCAACCGCGATATGTGAGGGAATTTCGTGGGAGTGCACTTCGATGCACCTAAATAGGCCGCTCGAATAGGAACCGATGTGGATTTTTGGTTTGGAGTATCAAGTGTCTACACGAGTGGGGATCTGTGACCACGTAAGACCCATGAATCGTCGCCGGGTTCCGATCATAGGCTTGCTGGTCCGATTGTTGAAATTCTTTGTTTGTCGACTGGAAAAGAAGATAAAGGTCGAATGAAGTTTTGTGAAAGAGGATGAGAGACAATCCCCAGGCTTTTCATATCCAGCGGGTCGATTATTGAAACTTATAGACAAAGCTATAGACAAAGACGACAAAAGGGATTTGGAGGATGGACTAACTAACGGCGACCCACTAAAGACGCGACAGTTAGTCCATCATTTTCTTTCTTAGTCTATAAGAACCAACCATGTCAACCAATAGGAAACTCCATACTCCCTATGTCTTCTTTGTCTATCGCTTTGTCCATCATTTTCAATAATCGGCCCGCTGGTCCTGACTCCTTTAAATAGAGGCTAGACGCACAGAGCTTTGCCATATAGGTCAAAATCGTAGAAGAGAGGAATAGGAGGAGGAGGAAGAGGAGAAAAAAGGTGGAAGAGGAGGAGGAGGAGGAGGAAGAGGAGGAGGAGGAAGAGGAGGAAGAGGAGGGAGAGGAGGAGGGAGAGGAGGGAGAGGAGGAAGAAGAAGAGGAAGAAGAGGAAGAAGAGGAAGAAGAGGAAGGAGAGGAAGGAGAGGAAGAAGAGGAAGAAGAGGAAGAAGAGGAAGAAGAGGAAGAAGAGGAAGAAGAGGAAGAAGAGGAAGAAGAGGAAGAAGAGGAAGAAGAGGAAGAAGAGGAGGAAGAAGAAGAGGAAGAAGAGGAAGAAGAGGAAGGAGAGGAAGGAGAGGAAGGAGAGGAAGGAGAGGAAGAAGAGGAAGAAGAGGAAGAAGAGGAAGAAGAGGAAGAAGAGGAAGAAGAGGAAGAAGAGGAAGAAGAGGAAGAAGAGGAAGAAGAGGAAGAAGAGGAAGAAGAGGAAGAAGAGGAGAAAAAGGAAGAGGCGGAGGAAGAAGAGAACGAAGAGAACTAAGAGAAAGAAGAGGAAAAGGAAGTCAAGGCGGATGCGTGTTAACTTATTTTTGGTTTCAATTTTTTCAAAGAATTCAAAGAAACTTATTAAATTGGAATTCTCACCGCACGAATGAGGAAGGATACAAAAAAAATGCCTATGAAACTTAATTGTTTCCAAAAATGTCGAGAATATGAAGATTGGATTCTCCTCGTTCTGCTTTCAAAGAGAATCGACAACGTGGATAGCTGTAAGAGTTGTAGAGTTAGCAATCGTGCGTCCATTCGTTTCCGTTTCCTCCGCCTGTTCCCCCCCTCTTCCTCCGAGGATTTTAACTTGCGGCGTGTTCGCGTTTGTGGCGTCTGCGGCGCTCGGGCTACTCCTCCCGTTCCAACTTCTGGCTCTGACATGTCCCTGTTACAAAATTGCACGAACTATTGAGACATATTCTTCGTCTCAACTTTATCAGTTCCTTTTTCATTGATACGAGGCAAATTGTCACGTCTGCCATTTTTGTGATGACTTCTCTCAATGTAAGGATTAGGTATTATTACAAACATTTCTGAGGCGTCACTTCAGGCGAGTCATTTTAGGAAAATCTTAAAAGAGGGGCAAAAGTTGTTGAGAGAGGACAAAATTGCTTGGGGGACTTTCGAAATTTTCAAAAAATACTCTAAAATGGGGGTCCAGAGGACTGATTATTTACATCGATAGACAAAGCTATAGACAGTGAATACGTAGGGAAAATGGAGCGATCCTATTGGTGAAAGTGCGTAGTTGCAATTGACAAAAAGGTAAGTAATAGACTATTGAACGGCAATCCACGAGAGACCCCATACTTAGTCCATAGTTTCCCTCCTTTTTCTCATTGCAACCACTGGAGAATTTGCACGCACATTTTTTGTTGCTTCATCTGAATGTGCTTAAAGAGCTGATTTCGCAGATCGCAATTTTTATAACGTTTTTCTGATATGGGAAATAGTATAGAGTAGTATTACCTGATTTATTTATTTTTTCTTCCTGGTAAATAAATAAATCAGGTAATACTCATTTATCAACCTGGTAAAATGAAAAATTCACAAAGTTTAAAAGTATAGAGTAGGTTTAAAAAAGAGAAAATGCGCCGCCTGGTCATGTCATCAGGAGGCATTTCCCATTTTAACACGTGTATATTAGCAGATTAGATCATTTTGGCATATCTCCTCCAATAATGGGCCTGTTGCAAACTTTTGCTAGAGCAAAACTAAGAGTTGTTTCTTATTGATAATGCCTCAAAAATCACGATGAGCGCATCGGCAAACTCTGAAATGCACTCATAACTTCACAAACTGCGTAAGAAATTTGCGGTTTTTTGAGCTTCCCGCTTCAAAAACGATACTACGGCACAGGTGAACATTTTGTAAGAGGAGTCGTTCCATTGTCGGCAATAATCATCATAGCCGACGCCAATCCGCCAAAACACGTTTGATGGGACGAGATAACACCTGAACTGGATTAGACCAGATAACAATCGGTGTTTTAACGTTCATATTTTCCACGCCCGAATTGATTGACCTTGAACTCTCCTTGAATTACGCGCGGAACTGCGTGCAAGCGTCGGCCATGATGAATATCGCCGACGATGGAGCGACTCCTCTAACAAAATGTTCACCTATGCCGTAGTATCGTTTTTGAAGCGGGAAGCTTAAAAAAACGCAAATTTCTTACGCAGATTGTGAAGTTATGAGTGCATTTCAGACTTTGCCGATGCGCTCATCGTGATTTTTGAGGCATTATCTATAAGAAACAACTCTTATTTTTGCTCTAGCAAAAGTTTGCAACAGGCCCATTGCTCAATTTATGAACCAAGGGTATCTCCGAGTTCAATTTACTCAGTAGTATCCCTTTGGACCACTTTTTGCCATAAGAAACCACCATTTCTGAATCATTCTAGAAACAACACGTATGTCATCGATTTCCGTATGCAGAAAGGTGATTTTATAGGAGAGCAAGAGGTAGGTCTATGGTTCCTCATTACAAAATGTAATTTAAACACGGAATTTATCAAATTCCAGACTTCTGCACAGTCTATCTTGCTTCAACCAGTGAGATTGCTCTATGTACCCTTTGTCTATGGCTTTGTCTGATTTCAATAATCAGCCCATGGGAGTAGGTAAGTTCTTTCCTTCAGATACACGTCTAGTTTCGCGGCTATCACGTGAGCTCGGGCCGTGGCTTTTTCACACAACGTCGCAAACATGCGACTCCCGGACAGTGGGTCACTATGTTATGGCAGCGGCAGTGTGCGAGCGCCGCGCCGGGCCGGCCGCCGTGACCCACAGAAACTCCCGCGGCCCCTTGCCAAATCGCCCCGCTCCTCGTCGGATTTCCCCGGGAAAACCGGATTTCCGAGCCCGATCCGGCAACCCTTCCACCTCGTGCCGCTGCCCAAGTTCAATTTTATTGCTCTCCGGCCCCATCCCGTAGTACTCCGCCCTACCCCCCCCCCCCTCCCCGGCCTGGCGCACAGGGGAAGGACCCTTCGGAGAGGTCGGATACAAAAATTTTTGATCAAACCAAAAATTGTGTCTTTTATTTCGTCATAAAATTTCGTCGTAAACTAGGAAGTACGCCTTCTGAACGCTACGCGGCCCAACCCCCCGAGGGCGCTTCACCACCTATAAGGTTCTGCTTGGCGGGCCTCTTGTGGATTAATCTAGCACGAAACAAGACAAAGTTCTAAAAAAAAAAACAATTCATCGGCGACCATAATAATGATTGTGGGGCAAAACGGCTCATTCATTACCGATAATTCCTGGAAAGAATGGAAACATTTAAGAAATGGTAATATGAGCTCAGAATTATTGAAGAAAGTCAAAATAATGATACTTCACGATGAAAAAGAAAACATTTTTGTAAAGAGGTCGTCACGAATCATTGAAATAATCACTAGAATCACTGAAAAAGCAAACAGTCTCTGAGTTAGTAGATCAGGGACCAAGATCCCCTTCAATTTTGTGGCTATGCAATTATGTCTACTTGGAAGTCGAAATAGTTGTATCAAATGTTACGCCCCATTCAACTTTTCTACTCGTGCGTTAAAGTTTCTGAGATAGTATATTGAAGACAAAGTTCTCCTTCAGATTTGTAGCTTTGCAGTTGTACCTAAACTGGAAAAAAACACATTAGATCTAGAGTCCAGACTCTTGAAAACATTGACAAGAAAATGGACTCTTGATTCAATCAGGTTTAAGCTTAAATCAAAAGGAAATCCGCTTAAATTAAGAGGCTTGGTTCTTGATTTAAGCTTAAATCTGCTGAAATCAAGAGTCCTTTTCATGTCAATATTTTCAAGAGTCTAGGCTCTAGATCCAATATGTTTTTTTTCGTGGAGGACGGAGGGGGCAAAAGTTGTTTGAGGATGCAAACTTTAGGGGGGGGGGATTTAAAAAAATCTCCTAAAGTGCTTTAAATTTGATCAAAATTTAAAGCTGGTGATATAAAGCCGACTTTTGAGATTTCTGATTCCGTGTTGTGAGTTTTGGGTATAACCGGATGGCAAACCCTCTCGATTATCATGGGCGCACTTACAGTCAAATCTCAGGGGCTGAAGGCGTTTAGAGGGTGTGGAGTTTGATTAGATGGAGTCAGAACTTTGGAGTCAATTATCTGGAGTCAATTATCTCAAATGCCCTAAAATTGATCAAAACTGCCCCAAGCAAAGGTCAAACTGCTCGTGGCGATTATACTTTTTCCGTGGTATTAGCAAATGTTTGCGAACGAATATGACTCACTTCATGAAGGACCGGTGAAATCGATATTCGATTTATGTTTTGACCAATTACAATAAAGATGCGTGAATAAACAAAATAAGTAGAAAAGTAGAATAGGGAATTTATTAATTCAGAGAGGATGTTGAGCCAATTATAGGTATATTAAAGACGCTAGAAAAAATAACTACAAACCTATTAGAAGAACCTCTAACTTGTTTCCTATTACTGTCTTAACTTTTGCTTCCTCTCTATCACTCTTTCTTACTTATTTCCATTCGTACTCCTTAAAATTCGTCTTCCATCTACTCTAAATATGTATGTAAAAAAATGTCCTCCTCTTCTCCGATTGGTTATTTTGGGAGGTTAGACATTTTCTATAACAATTCATCTCACCCCACAACTTTAAGTCCTGCAACAACCGATTCAGAAATGTATCTCCTCTACCTTCCGAGTCACCATCGCGTAGAAAGGAAAGTCAGTCGCTTTTTTGCAGTGACTCATCATGATCTTATGAAACGACTAGAGCTCTGAAGTTTCAAAACATAACAGTTTGAGTCATCGCATTGGTGCAAGACCGTAAAAAATGAAACATTGAATGAGAGATTTGGGAGATGGAAGTGGTGTGTGATGTAAGCTAGAGTTATTTTTGGCTATGTCTGTGGTGTAAATATATTGGTGTCATTTGAAAACACTTTCTTGCCTACAGAGGGGTGCCACAGAGAGTGTCCATTTGCAATAAAATTATGGGAAATCAATCACATATTGACATGTGAAAAGGATTTCTCTGACCTCTCAGTGCAAAAAGACACATCCTGGAAGCATTTCATATATTTCGAGTATTTTGCAAAGTACTTCTTATCTGAGAGATCACAGTAGAAATATGTCAGGAAAATTTAATTGCTTCGCCTAGTTTTCCATGTCAACCCTACATGGAGTAGGGCTCAGCCAAGTGCTTGTATGGGTGACGCTTAAACGGGGAACTAGGTAAAGTTATTTAATTCAGCTGTTTCAGGGTGACCTTTTTTCACAGTAAAATTTGGAGAAAAAAGATGAAAATATTTAAATCCGGAATTGGGATCTTGAACAATGTCATTAAAACTCATTTTCAGCATTGTAAATTTCTTGCAAACATTAAAGGGGTCTTTGTACGTATCTTTTGTATAATATTCTCCGTGGTCTACACATTTATGTTTCCAACTGAAATATATATAAATATCATTTACTCAAATATTATTCAAAATTTCTAATTTTATTTTCAGAGTCCTCCACTCTTTCGTATCAAGCAAGAATTCTACAAAATATAGATCAGTTGTTGTATACATTTTTATTCATGAATATTATTCACGATACCAATCATCTAAATATCAATTGGTCCAGCAATTAAATAATTTTTAATTTCATTTTCATTCTCATTCGAAAGTAATTTACGATGCAATTACATAGTAATTACATGAAATTACAAAATTGCAATGGAGAATAGCAGGATCTTCAATTCTTTCACTTGTATATTCTTGCTCGATAAGAATCTCTCTCATGCAGTTCTTCTTAACATTTTATATATGTGTGTCAGTGTCTTATTCTTGGCTATCCTATCGCTATTTTATTATTCTTTATAGATGTGACTGTTATCCTTGATGGAGACGTGAAGAGGATCTCTCCACAGTCCCTCGGCATCCTTACCTCGACAGCTCAGACCTTTGTCCAAAAGGGGACCACCACCGAGTTTGCCACTCAAGTCTTGGGAACAACCCTAGGCTCAAACTATGCTAAACTTGTGTCTGCAGGGTCGAGAGTTATCTACGATAACGATCTCAAATCGTCCATAAAGAGGTTCTCTTCCCTCGATCCTTTCCTTATATTCCCTACCATCCATCCCTCCCAAGTTATTATTACAGGACACACATACGATTCGGTAGAAAGGGTTCCTGAGATCCCTGAAATAGTTAACAATGACGAGCCGAAGGATGAAAGGCTCGAGGAGGCAACTGTTCAATCAGTTTCCTCGTCCGAACGTAAAGAGAAGAGTTCCAAAGACAGTCTGGAGATTAGCGAAAATGTCGTTGCATCTGTTCGGAAAGAAACATCTGTTAAGAGAAATGAGAGAGCCAACGATGATATTAAACCTGCAAATGTGGCAAAAAATAGATACCTACCAACATTTACAGTGCGACATGACTTTACATCCAGCGGTTTTACAAACGATTTTACAGAGCCTGCGGAAGAGGAAAGAACAGAGAAGAACGAACCTAAAGTTACAAAATCTCAAAGATTATCAAAAAATCTTTTCAAACCAGAACGAGAACCCGCCACAACAACGAATAAACCTCCAAAATATGACACAGTAACGTATTTTGGATTTGCTGACTTCGTAACAACAGTAGGGAATACTGTGATCGTGTTCATGCCAAATACGCCAGCCTCTTCTGTGCCTCAAGACGTGACCAAGGTGAGAGGGGAGGCAACATTACGGCCAGAGGATGCTATTCATGCAACTAAAGCCCAGAGTTCTCTCATTCAACCCACTAAAACGCAAACTAAAGTTGACGCAACGCAGGTAGTTCCACCGTACAGGCAACGTCAACAACAGATTGAGCAAGCACGACGTAAGAACAAACCTCAAAACCAACTGAGTAGCTCGAAGTTGCTCGAATCGTCTATGTCGGATATCAATGAAGAGGGAAATCTTCACGCTCCAACTCAGGTAAAATCAAGTCAGACTGAAACCGAGCCTTTATCGAAATACGCATACACAGCTACCAGAGTCTTCAATTCGGACGAACATGCTACTGGTCTCGTCAAGTCTATTCATATTAAACATGGCTATGATGGAACGACGACCGATTTTACAACATTTGTCTATGGCACGCATATAGATGGAAAATACACCCAACTACTTCAGTCAACATCGGTAGTTATAAAGGACAAACTGAAAACTAATGAAGTTCATCTGAAACCTCCTACGAAATTAGAAGGCTCTATCGACCATGACTTTAACGAGATCACGACGGAAAACGCCAAGCCAAAATTTAATCTTAAAGAACCTCATCGATTCCAACCGCAACGTCACCATAACACTAGTTCTAAACGTCCCTTTGAGGAATCTAATCAAGATAGGTCGAGAAAAATTATTCATTCCTCCAAGAACATCCCTCACCCAAGCAGCTCAGCCAGAAAACAAAACGAAATTCAGACTGGTAAGGTTAGACTTTTACCGTCCACAGTTTTCATAACGAACACTTATTTGACCACATTCTTTTTCCCTGCGAACGATGTTCCCACATCTTCCTCAGTTCAGTCACGTGAAGTAGTTTCAACAAAAGTGAAATATGTTAGAGTTAAAGGCACTTCAAAGCTCCCGATCGCTTCTAGCTCTGTCGAGTCAACGCCGAAAGCCTCTGTGACTGAAAAAGCTCCCACCACCGAACCGCCACCCGTTACTTTCCGCTCGACGACGGAAGCAGTAACTGAGGCACTCAGTGACAACGCAACGACCGTTTCAGAGACTCTTTCCACCGATAAAGATGAGATGGAGACCGGGGCTTTCACAACAAGTGACTTCACCGTCACTGCTGAAAGTGAGGATAAAGTGACAACTAAGAAGGGATCAACAGTCCCAGTTCAAAGCACTACGGAGGCTGAGGACGAAGCGACCACCGAAACAACTCTCAGTCCAACTACAACCAACAAACCAGAAGAAGAGGATAGTGAAGAGAAGGTGGAACTCATTTTTAAAACATTTTACACAACTTACACGTACTTAACGACTTATTTCCAAGAGTCGTCAACGTCCGTGCAAAGCAGAGAAGTTGTCCTGACCAATATTCTGACCTCAACAGTCAACGCTGACTTTGAGTTGCGTGGAGCTACAGATCCCGCCGTAGAAGGTCTATTCGCTCGGACAGATAGTCTAGTGGTGCCTACGTCCAGTGCCTCCCGATCTCAAATCGCACCCAGTGCCACAGCTGACTCGAATGTCCGCAGTACATCGAGTGCCAATACTGGCTCTGACGAGCAAGTTCTATTTTCCGCAACTCTTGACTCTGTTGAGCTTCCTGCTCCATTTACACCGACTCCAACCTTGCCATATACCCTAGTGAGTTATGATGACATCAAAACTTTTTATACAACTTACACTTACCTTACAAAAATTTATGTTGACGGTGAAACCTCGCTGTCGAGTAGAATAGAAGTTTTTACAAAATATGAAACACCAGCTGCATCTCAGAGCATTGAACCCTCTTCCGTACTAAATCAACCAAAGTCTTCCAGTCTAGAAAATGATGTCAAAGATGAAAATGAGGATAGATACGATGATGAAGAAGAAGATGACGAAGTTCTGCAGTCGACTGAAGTTTTGCAAGCTCGCGAAAAAGCATCCCGGGCTTTCAATTATGACATGACTATCACTCGATCTAAACCAAATAAAATTGTGGGGGATGAAAAACCTGAAAAGAGCAAGGAAAATAATAGCAAAGAGGAAGTACATAAGACCGACTCTGGGAATACACTGAAGCCAAAAATTGAACCATCTGGTGTAGTTTCACGCATCCATTCCTATGATTTGACGATGTCACGGAAACACCCATCTCCCGCTAACTTGATAAATGAAGATAATTACGTCAATGAAGCATCCAATCCGAAAAGAAATGTCCTTTATAACGAGACCATGATAAAAGAGAGCCAATCAAAATTAATAGCCGACCGAAAAATATTCAATGAAGATCAGCTAAGCTCAGAGACAAGCAACGATAGTGCAGAGCCACTGCAAATTTCACCATCAGTACTACTTCAAACAAGTTATACGACTTTTACGTACTTTACAACCATCTACAAAGGAAGTACCTCCAGTGACATAATTAGTCGGTTGGAAACTGTCACTAATGTCGCAACCGAGACCGTGAAACCTACCGCATCGGTTCAGCCTCTCGGGCCAGATGATATTGATGAACCAGTAACATATTTCACTACGTTCACCTACTGGACCACGCTGTACAAAGATGGAGAGACTATGATACAAAGCAGGGAAGAAACTGTCTCTAATGTTGTTTCTCCTACAACCTCCATCAGTATCACTCCAACCAAAACAGAGGCCATAGAACAGACCGTAGAACCCACTACATTCTTCACCACGTACACCTATTTTACGACTTCGTACATTGGTAATGATACGGTTGTGAACAGCCGATTGGAGACTATCACAAATGTTATCACTCCGACCAAAACTGATGCTCCCTCCGGTAATATTGTCCCCACTCAAAGCGGGGAGGACAATCTGGAAAGCGCAGCCCCAGCCCTTCAACCCACTGGTTTAATCTCAACGATAGTTTCAAGTGTCGTAAACGACGATGCAACCACCATATATTCAACTGATGTTTTTGGCTCTTATATAGATGGATTATACGCGCAACTTCTCGAAAGTACATCAAAAATTATACCAAAAGATAGCATAGAGGCGACAGCTCCAGGGAAAAATATAAAACCAACTGGAGTCGTCTCGATCAATGAGGGAAAAATTGTTGATGCCGATGGTATAAGCACCACTTTCTTTACAACGAAAGCTATTGGTACGTATATAGACAGTTTGTACGCACAAGTGATCGAGAGTTCATCGTCAATACAAGTTGATGAGGAAAGGAAACAACTGTTACCATCTGAGGACCCGTCAACTTATGTCATAGGTTCAAAAGTACTGAAGACTGGGCTTGTGAGACTTATCGAAGGATCTTTGATTAAGGATCATACGACCACTTTTTACGAATCAAGAGTCATTGGCACAGTCATTGATGATAAATATGCCCAGATTATTGAGAGCACTACCAGTTTAAAGATAGATGCAACACCCTCAGCCTCGATCGGTGTATCCCCATCAACAGTTGGAAATGACATTATCACTGCTACACGAACACCAGGCCTTCAACTGTCTCCTTCGGCAGTGCTGGAAAGTTCAATGGGTGATGGAAAAGATGAAGATGCAAGTGACGAGGAAAATGAGGATGAAGGCCGATTGTCCTCTAAAAGGAAGACATTTACTCCTGTTATAAGACCGTTTTCCTCCCGTGCAAGGCCTACCTTTTTACCCAAGAAGAAAACTTCAGAGACCGTAAGCGCAGCCACCATCACGCGCGGAATCACACCCACTATCACAGCTACGCCAGCTGCTAAAACAAACGCAGGCGGTGTGACACGGAATCGGTTCTCTAGCAACAGAAGTAAAGGTACATCAGTGAACGCTCCTGCTTCTGAGGCAAAAGAAATTAAACCGACTGCATCGGGCACCAGACGATTTAGTAGACCTAGCAAAACGAGCACACCACCTCTCATAACAACTAGTGCTCGAAGTAGGCCAAGTAGTTCGTCCGTGAAAGCTGTATCAGCTAGCATTTCTCCCAGCAACTCAAGACGCGGGAGTTTCAATTACCAACGAACAAGTAATGCTCCTGGGGAGCAACCAGCTGTGCGAAACTCAATTGTACCCAATGGATCGAGATTCAGAATAACACCAACAGGATCCGGTTTTCGACCTTCCTCTACTGCAACAACTACCGAAGCAGTCGATGAAAATGAAGTAGCAGCAGCGGAAGATTCTAATGAGTCTGACCCGGAAGAGGCAGCAACTCCGTCAACTACCACAGAATCTTCCAGAAGAGGGAATCCTTTGCTCAAGTTCAGACGGCCACAAATAACGACAAGAGCCCCTCCATCCACAGTTACAGCAGCAACAACATCGAGACCCACTACCAGAAAATCAACGAATTCGAGGGGCCAGAGTGCCGGTAGACAACCGACAGCTACAACAATCCGCACGACCACTCAAAGTAATATCAGAAATAGAATCCCCTCAAGAAATCCTGCAAACTCTTTGTTCCCAAACAGAGGCTTGTTGAAGAAACCTGAAGTTGAAGAGGAACCCAAAAAAGAAGACTACTCAGATGAAGGAAAAGAAGAAATTGAAGAAGAAGTCGAGGAACAAGCAGGAGAAGATGCACAACAACCCGAGGAACCTATAACAGAAGCACCAAGACGTGGTGGAAAGTCTTTTACAGCACCAGTACAAATAAGACCATTCAATTTCAATCGCCGCCAACAAAGGACCAAAAGACAAGTAAGTGAATTCGGGTACAGAAAATCCTCTAGGAGCTCAAGATATCAAGCCCCAGCCCGGATCTCTTCACCTGATTACTATTATTATGACGATGTATATGAGGTATCCGAGCCACCACCACCTCCACCGCCCCCTAGGAGCAGTCAACGAACTTTCCCATCCCGTTCAAGGAGTCAGAGCCAGTATCAACAACAGCAAATTCAACAGCAAGTGCAGCAACAGCAGTATCAGCAAGAGGTGGTACAGCCAAACTATCGGCAAGAGAAATTTTTACAGCAGCAAGGATTCAGTCAAAAAGTTTATCCGGCCACAGCTTCAGCGCAACAAGGTAGGTCATTATTCACATTGCGAGAAAAATCTGCACCACCACCACCACCACCACCAACGACAGCAAGGTCAACCTCAAGATCAAGAGGATCACCTCGACGAAGGCCATCCGTTGAAACTACCCCGGCACCGCCTAAACGACCGTCTCCACCGAAATTAAAAACATCGCTTAGGAGTCAAGCCCGACAAGATACGACGGAGAGAACTCGGAGCAGGAGTGGTTTCACATCCAACCGACGGACACCAAGTCGATCTAGATTCCGTGACCCCGAAATTGACACTTACTCTCTTTTGACAGCAAACTCTGATGGAACTATTACTGTGACACATCGTGTCCCAACTGAAGTGACCATTCCAATTTTCAACGGAAAATTCACGGAATACAAAAACGTGATAACTGCAAAACCGAGCATCGAAGTTTTAAGTCCTCGGCAATACAGCACTGCTTTAGATAAGAACGGCAATTCTTACTTGCAGCTGGTATCAGAAGTTACAGAGGCGTTACCGAACGGTGCCACCGAAGTTACCAAATTCGTCATTTACGAAACTCCCACCACTAGCGTTGCCTTCACACCTACGACCATTCGCGGGAGGAAAACTTCTTTCTCTCACATAGTCCCGAGTACTGTTTACGAAGTAAAACCAGAAGTGTCTACAATTCAACCGAAAGTTCAAAATGCCCCGTTAGCAAATTTGTTACTTTCGCAGCTTCTTTTGGGTAATTTGGGTCTGCAGCCAACTTTGAATCCACTTTTAGGCCTGAACAATCAAATGCCAGCAACTCCCGTCACAGAGTTTAAAACGAAGACCTCTTCTTACGTAACGACTGTGACAAGTCATATCTCAACAGTCCTCCCGATCACATTCCGAGGGAAGGAAATTATGACGACAATCGTTGATAGCTCCACGTCAGTGATTACTGCAACCGAATTTGTCACAGAAACTGTAGTCATTACACCGACTCCAACAGTGAACCTAGCGAATCAACAGCAGCTAAATACTTTATTGCTTCCTGCTCTTCTCCAAGCACAACTTTTGGGTCAAACCCAAGCTCCCACGCAGAATCCTTTGATAGGCAATTTGCAGAACGTTTTGTCACCTGAACAACTGCTTGCTCTTCAAAATATCGATCTCACAACAGAGAAGCAGCAAGAGTATCAAGATATAGAACAGGAAGTTGATGGAGATGATGACGACCAAGAGCTTACCAAATCTAGCTCTGGACGTAGCAGGCAAAAACCTGAGAATGAATCAAAAGAAGAAGTAAAAGTATCAAAGAAAAAAGCTAGCACAAAACTGAGTGACAAAAAACAACCAGAACCGGTTCAAGTCGATGCAAATCCCGTAGAATCTAGTGTGGTTACTTTGTATGTCTCTGGAAAACGTCCAGGAGAGTTTAGCACCGTCCTATCGACTATTGGGACTAATGAGGACAATTCGGAAGCAGCTAAACGAAAAAGAGAAGTATGGGCTGTAGAATTTGCCGATAGTGGGGAAACTAAAGTTAAACCCTCAAAGTTACCAGATATCTCTAGCTCCTTCCCGGGTGACGACGAGGAGTCATCCTACCTTGATATCGAAAACTATCTGATGGCAGCGTTAACTGATTCCGATGTTCAAAGCAGCATGGTGGAAACAGAAAGTCTTGAGAGCATTATTGGCGATGTAAGCCAAGCAAAAGTATCCGAGACACCATCAGTAAATCAATCTGTGGTCAAATCATCGATTGATAAGTCCTCAATAGACATCGCATCCGTGGTCGAAGATGCAAAGTCAAACAATGCAGTTTCGAATCATTTTTTATCCAAACGCCCCGTTGAACTAGCTCCTGTTCAGCGGAAAGGCAACTCTTCACCGAGGAGCACCTTCGACGAGGAAATCGCGCCTGACTACGAGCCAAGTCCTTTTTTAGGCCGTAGAAAACTCTTGAGCTTTGAAGATCCGTTTTTGACGGATTACGCAGAGGATATACCGGATGGAGAACTCTTCATACCAGTTCAAAGAGCAGCTCAAGAGTTTCAAGTCACAGACGTCGAAGAAACTAAAAATCTCTACCCTCAAAACCAGAGGCCAGAATCGTCCTCAGAAGGCAACATATATATTGACAAACCAACCACGTGGAAACCTAAAGATACTTTGAAGTATAGAAAGTCAAACAGACAGGAAAGTGGAAGAGCGTTTAAAACCAACAAAAATGCTCCACCCGGTCCCCAGACTATTGATGAGGCAGACATTAAACCAACGACTAGACGTCCAAACAAAGAACTCTCACGTCTACTTCAGCAGTTAAGAGGAACCTCCAGAAAAACCAAACCGGATGTCGAACCCGAGTTGAGGGTACAAGAAAGCTCAGAGGCAACGATTTCACAGGAAACAACTTCCAAAAATTCCTCTAATCCTTCACCCTCTCCTGATTCAAATCCTCGGTCATTGTCACAAACCTCTTTAGTAGATTGGCTCCTTGAGCCACCTATACCAGCCCCTGTTTTCACCACAACAGAATATTCATTATCTACGAGACTAAGAACTTTTACTTACGTGGTTACCCGCTTGAGTGGTAACGAAATGGTGGTAACTTCATCTACCGAGGTCAAGCCGGATGTTAAAACCCTAACCATTGTAAAAACTCTTCCTCAGATCCAAGCAACAGGTAAATATCTGCAACTCCTTCACTTCTGTTATTTTTAACATTGATTCCCACTGAGTATAGAAATGAATAACTCCGTGAGCTTAAAAAGGAACTTCTCTTTTGACATTTCTTTTCGCCATACAACAGTCAATCGACCCGAGCGTTCTGTCGATCAGATTGCCAATTTATCATGATTTTAAAAAGTATAATTTCGGCTGCAATCGATTTTTTGCTTTTGAACTCTAAACTTCGTGACCAGCAAGAGTTCTTAAGACTTTCAAGAGAAATTAGAAAAAAAGCTCTTAAATTGAAAGCTAGAAATATAAATCAAATATCATTAACGTGCATATTATTTTATATCCATGCGGTAAAAATCCATCACATATACTTACCCTCATCAAAAATATTGGGAAAATGGAAGGTAAATGTAAAAATGGCACACGGTTACCAAGTATGTTTTTTCTTCTTCCAAATTTCACCCATGCCCTCATCCTAAAAAAATTATCACTTTTGTACAGGGAAATTATTTTGTAAAGCATTCTTTCCACTTGGGTTGAAATTCAATTCATGTATAGTTTTGGAACTCCATTCCTTGTTTTGCTGTCCTTTTGTAATATTTTATCCGCCTTTTCATGTTTATGTCCGATAGTAACTTTACTTTATTTCATGTCTTAGTGATTGTTTTGTGTTCCAACAAAAAGACAAACAAACAAAAATATTTCAACATTGCTTTTTTTTAGAATGATCATAAGAGTGATTTCTATAGGTATAAGACTAATGGGAGAATATATGCTTTTGTCTGAATCCTCCGTAAGAAGAATTTTGGGGCTCAACCTGTAATGAATTTTCTACCATCGACCAAGTTCCTCGCGTATTAAATTGATTGTAGGGTCCTGAAACTCCGTTCATTAACTGCAATACCATAGAAAGTAATTTTCAAAAATAAGCCTCAAAAATTTGACAGTTAAGTCAAATTTTAACTTTCCCTGAGTAAAATCACCTTTTAATTCACTGCTTAGTAAGCAACAAGTGAAAATAATTATTAGGTTTAGGACTGTTATGTGCTGAAGACTTGATGATCCAATTTGACATATTATCATTTATGTCACTATTGTGCTTATCTAAGATACATTTCAAGTGGCTGTTACGAGACATTGCAATGATAATTATGGTCTTTCTATAGAAAACACAAAGTAATGCATTTGAACACGACATTCTCGTGACAGGAAGGAGTAAGTAAAACTCCAAATCCAGCCATGCTCCTCCATATCAGATCCGCTATTGGCATTCACAGTTGCAGTATTAATTACAAACCGTAAATCGCGCCTACCCTCTTGAGTAATGCAAATGAACATACGCAAATAAAATACTACGTTCAGAATTCCCAAATTCAACTTATACGTGGTGAACTAGCGGTTTTATTTTTCGCACATTCTTCAGTTTTCATTACTTATTGGAATAGAGTCTATTCTACGAGTATTACTCTTGATTAAAATGTATCCTTTCGTTGAGAAAAAAAATTCAATTTTTTTTTTTTTTTTTTTTTTTTTTTTTTTTTTTTTTTTAGAAAATTTGAGTCCGTAAGGTAAAAACTTAAGAGGTGCCGAATTTGTAACAAGTAATCAAATTAATTGTTAACCTAAACGTAGCTAAGCATTTTTAAGGTCGTAACTTCTTTGGGAGGGCCACCAGTCGCGGGTGTAACCTCTGCACCTACGCCCATACCTGTTCAGGCCTTGTCTCCACGGGTCGTTTCACGGGATTTGTCCCAGGGAAAAATCCCACTTACGAAGTTGGGAAAAATATTGAGTTAATCAATATTTTTCCCAGTGCCAAGTATGGTCCTTGTACCCTTAGGACCCACTGAGAGAGGAAGAGGAAGTGAAAACGAATTGTGCAATATTTTGTTCTTTACTCCATTGTTCATGCTTGTTTTGTCAAAACGATGTGTCTAATTGTCGATTGAGTGTAATTATTATTTTAATCTCGGTTAAATACTCGACTTTCCGTATGAGCCTCGTCCCGTGGAGACGGTAACCGGGAAAAATCCCACAAGTTTCATTCCTGCGATTCGAACTTAGGACAAATCCCATGGAAACGTACCGTGGAGACAAGGCCTTAGTTTAAATCAAAAGATAAATAAAACTATATGAATGCGGCTTGGTACGTTGCTATTAAGCTCGGTCCATTTTCAACATGCTTCACGTGTTTTGCGTGAGGTTTTATGAGAAAACACTTATTGCAGCACTCCAACTCTTCCCTCGTCTAGCGCTCCATGCGGACCCTGTCGAGTGGTCCATTGTGTCGAGGACCGGAGACCTACCTCAAGCCCCGATCGCCCGGTCGGTCGGTATCTGCGTCGGTGATCGGCGCCGGTGCTGAAACAAAGGATGCGCCCGGCGGCCGGCGGTAAAACGGTCGACAATCGAGACCCGAGGACTCAATAGATTACGCCGAATAAATATGCGAGGGGGGCCCCGGTCCCCCCCTCGCATCGGGTCAAATTTCACGACTCGCCGGGCGCCCATTCAAATGCAAATCCGCGTACAAGTTCGATTCGTACTGCGCTCTAATCGCGGCCCGACCCGACCGTAAACTCGTCGGCTTCGTCCGCGCCGGTGCGCAGACCCGTCGGTTTCGGTTTTGAGTTCCTGCAGGCTGATTGTTGAGATTGATAGACAAAGCTAGAGTCCCTTCATAGAGATTTTTTTTTTTTTTTTTTTTTTTTTTTTTTTTTTTTTTTTTTTTTTTTTGTTTAATGGCTTTGTGACTAAGCACCTGCAGCCAACTTTAGACTAGTGTGTTTCTATCGGATGGAGGTATAGAGAGAGTTGCCCCGCTAAAAATGACGAGTAGGCTATTCGGAATTCGCCAACTCACATGGGTAGAACTTCCTACTTGTATGAGTAGAAATCTTTCTTAGATCCTTAGAATATTCTACTCATAAGAGTAGAAAAGTTCAGCTCATATGAATTTAATTTATTTCATTTTTCTAAGGTGCTGTTTCTGACCAGGAGACACCAAAGTAGCATGTGAAATTTGAAAAATAAAAACATTTTGTTCTTATGATTTTTCGGGTCAACACGACTCGCCGGGCGCCCATTCAAATGCAAATCCGCATACAAGTTCGATTCGTACTGCGCTCTAATCGCGGCCCGACCCAACCGTAAACTCGTCGGCTTCGTCCGCGCCGGTGCGCAGACCCGTCGGTTTCGGTTTTGAGTTCCTGCAGGCTGATTGTTGAAATTGATAGACAAAGCTAGAGTTCCTTCGTAGAGAGAGTTGCCCCGCTAAAAATGACGAGTAGGCTATTCAGAATTCGTCAACTCACATGAGTAGAACTTCCTACACTTGTATGAGTAGAAATCTTACTCATATCCTTAGAATGTTGATCCGAGTTTGGTGGTCTCAAACAATGGTTGCCTGGCAATGGTCGTCCAGTAGGGACGGAGGGGGCCGGGACTAAAAAGCGCGGGATTAGCCCTTGTGGGCTACTTAAAGTGGTAAAAAAAAGAAGAAAAAAAAAAGAATATTCTACTCATAAGAGTAGAAAAGTTCAACTCATATGAATTCATTTTTTTTTCATTTTCCTGAAGTGCTGTTTCTGACCAGGAGACACCGACAAAGCATGTAAAATTTGAAAAATATAAACATTTTGTTCTTATGATTTTTTTGATGCGGTGACTACTTTCTGAGATATCGGACACGGTAGATTCAACGCTGAATTCATGTGAGTTGAGATCTCTAGCCATATGAGTTGACGACAACTGGATGGAGTAATTCTGCTCATATGAGTCAAATTCAATTCATATAAGTTGAAGCTCTATTCATATGAGTTGAATGCATATGAAATAAAATTCTATTCTTATGACTTTTATTTTCTACTCATTTGTACGGACCATTTTTAGCAGGGTGAGACAACGCGGCTTATGGATGTCACAAAAGAGAATAAAGATTACACAAATCGGAAGTTTTATTTATTTTTTTTTCTGTTGTTTGTTGAGACTGCAACCCAGTAGACAGCACTCGATTTTAAATTTATTGATACAAAGTTGAGAAGGCAATTATTCGAGCACTAATGCCTTGTACAGTATCATGTCTAATTGAAGGCGCAATTGGAAGAAAGTGAGTGCCACGCTCGGCACCGCGAAGTTTCTAATTGGACTGCATTTTGCAATTTGGAACTATAAATTCTGCCTCATCTGAAAAAAAAAAACACTTATGTGCATAGGGAAACTAATGGCACATACGTTGTTTCTAAACCGGACTGGAAATTATAGTTCCTAATTGCAAAATGCGGCCCAACTATTCCGTGGATTTGCCTCCATCCAAGATTTTCAAAGTCAACTTTTTCACTCAACTGAACGAAAATCACCCTCTTGAATATTTTGCCTTCTCTAATCCCGTTTCTCGTAGACGATCACTAATGAATAATTGTATTTAGTTGTACTACCTGTATGGTTTAATTTCTCTACTTTATTTAACAATTTTAGCTGTGTTCGAAGAGGGGCGGAAGTTCAACTTGGCGACCAAAGTCATGAGCAACGGCGTGGAGGTGATCGTAGCGGGCGACAAAAGCACACTGCCCGGCGGCCCGGAAATCCTGAGGGTCCTCCCTCCGACCCCTACGAGACCCATCACTCTAGCCCCTAGCACGCTCACCGACCACATGATGATGCTCTTACCTCAGGGATCTCAGGTACGTCGTAGCTCCGATGATCCAGGGTACAAGTTTCAGATTAAGGTTAATCTTCAGCACTATAGAGAACGAATCGATAGTTGAGCAATCAACCGATAATTACTGGATTTTAGGAAATTCCTCTAGATTAGGGCAGATTGGATGAGCAGATTCATTCACAGGTGGCGGTTTTTACGAGTTCAGAGTCCCCCTGAAATTTGTACCCTCTCCAAGTACCCTACACTTATTCCACAATGGTGGCCTCCGAAATGGTTGAAAGCGGCTATCTTGCTTTTATACTGGCCACTTTCAAGGCAATCAGGGAACTGGACGTTTTTCTACTCAATAGAAACGAATCTGACATCAGAACTCAAAACTATTGCAAATTTCATCCCAGTTAGCGGAAACAATAAAGATAACCCCTTTCTGGCATTTTTCCGGCCCCTTTACGGAGGCCGCCATTTCGGAAAAAGTGCGCTTTTCTTATATTCTAATGTCAAATTTTTCCTCTCCGTGGTAAAACACCTGCGAAATTTCATCTGAGTCGACCAATAAACAAGGGATACATCACCATACCGCCATTTTTAATTTTAACCGGTCGCTATTTTGAAACGGTGACGGATAGAGACCTGCGGTTTGCCCCAAAAATGTTCTTTATTCATGATCTTTTTAAGGAGGTATCACACGACGGGGGTTCCCATTTGAGATTGTTAGTCTGATTGTTGTCTGAGAGAGTAAGGTCATCCCCAGCCCCCAACCCCCTGAGGGGCGGGGGGGTCATGGTTCCCCTTAAAAAAATTGTCCTCTCTCACGTGAGGAAGCTTCGTCCAAACCGTAAGTCAATATCCGAAACCTCTCTCGAGATATCAACACTCCATACTCTTTGCACACCCTATGAAATCCAATCTTCTGCAAATGCGCGCCTGGAAAAAAAGCCCGTCAAATTAAATTTCCCGCGCTTATATAAGCGCGGGTCTTTCTGTGTCAGTAGCCAACCACCGTCCAGTAGAAGCAGTGCGATGATTGGCTGCCGACACATTTTCAAGTCTTGAAAAAGGGACGGCCAACTTAAAAGAAACACAAGTGTTTAAGGTGATTCGATGGACGCCATATTTTGTGTCAGAACGGCATGCGATATATCGCATTAATTGGTTCCATTTTTTCAGCTACTCGTCATTTTTCTCCAATTTTGAGATCGCAATTCTGTTGTCAGGAGACTAAAGCACTCACTTACCAATTTTAACAAAGAAATTCAACGTAATAAAGGTGTGAATTTTTCAGAGAGAAAATATCGCATTCGAGTGCAGTTTCGATATCAGTATCGAATGCGATGTTTTCTCTCTGAAAAAACCACGCCTTTATTACGTTGAATTTCTTTGTTAAAATTGGTAAGTGAGTGCTTTAGTCTCCTGACAACAGAATTGCGATCTCAAAATTGGAGAAAAATGACGAGTAGCTGAAAAAATGGAACCAATTGATGCGATATATCGCATGCCGTTCTGACACAAAATATGGCGTCCATCGAATCACCTTAATGGCCCCTGGCAAGTACATCCTAGAAAATACGCTTGATTCGAACAATTTATAAATTGACGACACAAAATATTTTCAATTATTCGATAAAATTTAATTTTATGTCAATTGAAAGAGGGAAGTTTGAGTTAAAGAGGAGGGGTGATGAAGATTGAAAACAATGAAAGTGTCGGGGAAGATGTTCTATGTTGGTACTAACTGGTACACGCGTTGTTTACATTGTTCGTTGTTTTATCCACAATAATTTCAATTTTAGGTTATAGCAGCAATTGTATGTAATAGTTCTCTATCTCTAGAGATGTCTTTAGAGTATGTTTAGTAAATCACACATCTCTGAATACGCCAAAGTTAGCTTAATTTAGTACTGAATTATAATGAATATGACCTATGAATCAATCGCAGTGCGGTCGCGTGGAATCGTCGAGAAATCTTCAATCCAACACTTGAAACATCTCGATCACAATTTTTTCCGATTACAGTCCCTCTGTGATGTCTGAGAAGCTGTTGCATCTTATCATGTGTATTAGAGGTAACAACCCTGCTGATATGCCGCATGTTTACTCTTGTATCAGTATGTCATTGATTTTTAAATCACCTGAGACACAGCACTTATGAGACTCAATGATTGGAACACGAACCATGGAGGTTGGCGACTGAAGTCAGCCCTTCATGGCCCTTCGATTTGCCCAACGGAAATCATATAGGCCCCTGGCCTTTGAAGTGGCCTTCAAAGCCAGGGCCTCAAGTCCCACACTGATGGTCTGCACTGATTTTTCAACTTGATGACCATTTGATGTTGTGCTTCTTGGTGTGTGCCTTAAGTGCTGTTCCTTCAGTACTTTCAATCACATTGGCCACTCAATGACGCCCAATGGAGGAACCTTTTCTCAACAAGTACTTTTGGAAAACACCAAATTTGTTTAGGAAAACAAACCCACATGCGTAAAATCTTAAATGATGGGACCCGTTTCGGGAACTTTGATCCCATCATCATCATTAGAGTCGCATCTGATGATGGGCCCATAGGTCTTGCTACGCATCCCTTTCTCTTAAAATTTCACGAAAGTGAGTTAGTTTTCTCTGGAAATGTTCTGTGTTTTTTTAAAAGAGGTCGAAACTTCTGTAGCCATCTAACGGTGTTTGGAGTAAATACTTTTCAGTGCACACTCACGCAAGTCCAAGTTTTGGCAAGCATGAAATATTTTGCTGAAATTCCCATCTTTTCACCAGTAGCACTGCTCTGTTTCCTTTGATATTGACTCAGATATTGAAGGGAACTGTAGCTCTGCAATGATTAATTTTAGAAAGTGGCTATGAATGTTTTGAAAGGTTCTTTTCACGGGAGGTATAATCTGTTTAAAACTCCCTAGAAACTAGCCAGTTTCATTTACCTCTAAATCTAGAAATAAAAGTGTTCATGGATGTAAGAGAACCAGTGTAGATATTACAGGTTAACTTGAGTCCCTGTCGTTCAAAGCGGAAAGACCCAAACAAAATGTCATCACTTTTAACACAGGCCCTATACTCTAGTTGCCTGGCAGGAATTTTTCGTGATTATTTTTTCTCATGCTATCTATCTCACCACACTTTTGCAGGCTCAATTTTGATTCCGAAAATGATACTGATCTTTCTCTCAGCTTCAATAACTTGAGGCGGCTGAAATATATTAAGGAAATCAAGAATAATTTTACCACGCACTAAAATTCTTGTATTATATATTTTAACAGAATCAATTGGAGAATCAGTTCATAACAAAAACCTACCTGACTACGTTCACGTACCTGACAACTTTCCTCAAGGATGGTGCAACAGTCGTATCGAGCAACGAGAAGGTGATTTCAAACGTCGCAACAGAAGAACTGAACAAGATAACTCCAACCCCATCCCTGAAAACGACACCTATCACCCTCTCAGCTAGTCCAAGTCTTGCTACCGGAGTGTTCCACACTACCTACACATACTTCAACACTCTGGTTGATGGGGACGTACCCTTGGTTGTGACATCCAAGAAGACGGTGGCAAATACAGTCACTGCTCCCCAAGACTACATGAATTTGCTGCAACCATCAGAGCCAGCAATCCAAACCACCAATACTTATTTAAATACAGGTAAGAAACTGAGAAAAATACTGTTTACATGCTTAAAAGAGTAGAATTTTCTAAATTTGAAGCTGACATATAGAGAGATGTAATGGTAGGTAGTAGGGGTGATGAGTGTTGTACGAAACTTTTGAGAGAAAATAAATTCGAACAAACATGAAACCAAGCCATACTTATTATGGTCTGAGCTAAGAAATAGAATAAAATTTTGAGAAATAGATAGATTTTTAAAATTTCAAACTCCCAGGTTAATATAAAGAAAAATTTATATTAAAATATTGTAACTACCACAAAAACTGTATGCATTGTATCTATTTCTGTAAATTCAATTTACGAAGGTAAGAAGAAACTAAGTAACATTTAGATTATCTGGAAGACCAGAAATTTTGAAATTCCCTCACTTATGTTCGAAGGAAATCAAGCGTACAACAATACTATTGTAATACTGCAAAATTCAAGGCCTGACTTCGGCAGATCAAGATACAGCTTTGCAGCCTTTACTGGCATGAAAATGAACTGAGCCTCTCGCAACTTTTTCAGTAGATCACAGACAGTAAAACTGCATAAATGCATTTATTGATTGCGGTGTTCAAAATCTCTGCTCCTATTTTATTTTTTAATAGAAGACCAAACCAACATTGCCTCAAAATCATTGAGTACTTTTTACCAATGAGAGCATAAGTACCAAAGTTTTCAGAATAATGTATGACAGGAAGTCTACATCGCTGCAAACTGATATAAATATTTCTGCAGTTACAAAAAAAATAGATCCATTCACCATTCCCTCATTTCATTTGGAAGAGGAAATTCATGTCAGTGCTCTAGACTAAACGTCACTCTAAGTTCTTTGAGTTTGCTTACTGGTGTCTCATACGTTCTACCGACTCCTCAAAAAGATACCTGTTTATCTTTTGCGTCCTACACTTTTTTATGTTTCCATCATTGCTCAAAGCTGTGCTCAAAGCAATTCATACTTACTTTTGCCATCTATAATGAGGCAAGTGTAACTTGATATCCTCAAGTACTTTTGCAGGGCTTTAACAGGCACTCATCATTTTTCTTCACCTCGAAAGGAAGTGTAGTATCTATTTACATGTTATTTTTTCACTGAACAAAACTGCCTAGTTGTAAATATATTTGCAGCGATTTTTGGTGGTAGAAACTTTAAAGATAGATAGCAGTTTGTCAAGAATCCATACCCATAACTGGACTGAGTTAAGCAGAAAGGAACCAACCCACATTTTGGAAAAAATTGAGTTATGAGTGGTTTTGAACTCAACCACTGCTCTACTATCTATCGCCAAAAATTCAAAGTTTTTGTTGGAGCAAATTTTGCAGAAATTGAACTTTATGTTTATCTTTTACATTGAGTCTTATGCAGGAGCCAAACTTTAAACCTCTTTTTCTCGGTTCGATCCCGATGTGGCTTGGTTCCTCTCTGTTTAACTCCGTCCAACTAATTCCATTCAAAACTGTAGCAGAACTCCTTAACTTGATATCTTGAAAATTCGATTCAACTCTTAAAGGCTTCCTTGGCTACTCAAAAATTTATCTCTTTCGATTTTATAACTATTGCTAATTATTTTCAAGGGGTTTTAAATCGATTTGCTTGTGTGTCTGTTTTAGAGAAGAATTGACTAAAGTATAAATTATTATTGTTTCAAGAGTTGCAATTGACCAAAGGTCCTAACTTCATATACAGTTTTGCTTGAGCTTTTTTCCATGTATCTATAATTTTTACCTAATTTTCATTTTTGTTGTTACAGTATCATTCACCAAGACTCTCTCGGACAGTGGCGATTTCAAAATTGTGAGCACAGCTGACGTTTTGACCCAAGTTGTTGTGACAAAAACTGACAACAAACCATCAGTCATCGACATTAAGCCAACTGCTCTCACAACTGATGTGACAAAAACATATTTTGTTACCTACACTTACTACAGCACCTTCCTGGAGGGTACAAACACTGTTGTCAAGTCTAACTTTGCTGTTTCCTCTGACATTGTCACTGAAAAGTTTTTCCTTAAGCGGACTGCAAACCCTCAGCCAACCTCTGCCTCCTCAATTGAAGAGGTCAAACCAACGGAGGTTGCTATGCTTCAAACAGAAGCTGACAAGTCGATCAATGTCTTTGCCACGAAAACTTACCTGACAACTTATACGTATTTCACAACGTTGGTTCAGAGTAAAGGTGAAAACAAACAGCCCAGTACAATTGTCAACTCTCGTACGAAAGTAGTGGAAAACGTAGTGACAGAGTCACTCGCAACATCTTTGTTGGATGTTGACTACCTGTCGTCTTTGAAGAATTCCCTGAAAAGTGATGTGCCGATTATTGCAACTGCCACATTGAATGATGGTCAGAAAATGGAAATAACTGCTATCAACCATGTCCGGGCACCATTCCAAACATCTTTCAACTTGGCTGCCCCCAGTTTTGAGCAGACATCGCCCGCAAACGCTGCCCCAACTGAGCCAATCAAAAATCATAAGAACAACACGAAAACAAATCACAAGAAAACAAATGCAACGGCCATCAATGATATCAAGAGTCAAAATGCTTCAAAAACCAACGCCACGGAAACAGTCAAGAAACCGTATGAAACATCCATTCTCGCATCTTCCACAGTCATGAAAAATGGCGTGACCTTGGGTCCTGGTGCACAAATTATCAAGCTGACCTCCGAAGATGGGAATGTGACCATCATTCCGGTCTCAGACCCAGTTAGTAAGCATCCAGATGGATCCGCATTGAACAAGGTACCAAACTTGCAGAGCGGAAGCACAGGTGTAAATGAACTGTTTAATTTAGGATCAGTAGGAGTAAATGGCTTGGCAGCCCTTGCACCTGTCTTAAATGTAATGGCAGGCTTGATTAAAAGTAACACCAAGAAAAAGAATGAAACTTTTACGACCAACAAATCAACCATTAAACCATTTACAAAGCTGCCTCCAGTGAGCACTGCTACAAATCCATTACTAACACATACCAAATCTCCAAACCGGTCACCAATTTATATACCAGTCGGTGGTCTGGCAGATTCAGAGCCAGGAGACTCTGTCGCAGAAGAAAGCCAGAGAGTGGAAAGGCCAGAAGAGTACATCGATGTAAATGAAAGAGCAGGCGCTCAATCGGTTAGCAGGCCAACAATCGAAAGCCCTCTCCTAACAGGTGGAATACCGATCAGCCCAGGTCAAGTAATCACGGCGAACAGTGATGTTATCATAGGCAGACCAGCGGTGCATGGGCCTCGCCCACCAGAAGGTGACAAACCGATTCGGAAAGATGATGTTCCAATCGGTATGCTACCACCTCCAATCCCAAGCTACACCCGTGACAAAGGCATAGTTCAAAAAGTGGCAGCGCCACCTGGTCACAGGCACCCAACACATCATGACCTGAGGCACAAGTTACCGCCTAAACATCATCACCACCATCACCATGACTCAGTGAAAGATTTCAGCCACCATAAACCACACCCCATCAACCCTAGCCGCAAGGATAACGATCTGAAGCATTATATCAAACCATCAGTCGACCACTACCCTGACCACCCGCGGCCAGAGGTTAACTCAATCCCGTTGTATGGCGAAATTCAGCCAACCAAAGTTGTTACAGCTCACATCGAAACTGTATCATTTGGCAAGTACCCGTCTGACTTGAACAACAACATTGAGCCCCACCGCCATAACTCAATTCTTGGTGTTGAGCATCCAACATTCGTAGAACCATCTTCTGTCGATCCACTATTGGTAAATATAAAACCACTCCAGGTTGCAAATGTGGTCATACCGCATGGCAGTCAGACAGCGTTGATTTACAGCGACCAGGCTGTTGGAAACGGTCACGGACCGAAAGGCGAGATCTTCAATGACCCAGCTCCTTACCCAGAGCCTGTCGTGAACCCTGGTTTTGTCGGGTTAAAAGTCTTAGGACCAAAACCATCTGCTCCGCTAAAAATACCGCACACGCAACTGCCAGCCACTCCAGTTTTAAACATACCGTTATCATCTCAAGGAATCCACATTGGGTCTGGAACAACTTCTGAATCTCATCACATTATTCTGATCGATTCCAATGGACAGCCAATCAATAACATTGATATTGGAACTCCGTCAATAGAAATATCCTCAGTTGGTGTTGGCAATCATCACTTGCCAACACCTGATACCCCTCCAAGGGAGCGAACACCGATGCCAAATTCTTTCAGACGACCGGAGGTGGATTTAAATCGGATAAACAATCACTATCAAACCTCTCCCTCTACCCCATCGCATCAAAACCACATCCAAAATAACTACATTCGACCTGATGCAGCTGATGATAATGACTCATATGAATCTGAAGAAGGTGAAATTATTCAAGAATCCAAAACCAGACCATTGAAGCCTGGACAAGTTCCTCAAGAGCTTGTTTCACAATCTACTAGTATGCCAATAAATCCTCCAGGGGAAGACGGCTCGTTTGAAAACAAAGAGGACAGACCAAGCCGCAATGCCACCTTCCACCACGGTAGACCCAATTATGACATTTTCTCAGATGACTATAGAGTCAAAACATCTGTCGTAAATGGCAAGCCACAGAACTTCCCAAAACTAACTGGCGATTCACAAACTGTGTCGATCGGTCAACAGACTCATCTAAAACCTGACGGGACTCCCATCAATCCTAACCAACCGTATCAGTTTAATGGAGAAAAAGAGCATCGAATCGAACCGACACCTCACTCATTTTCACAGAAGAACCAATCATTGTCCAGTTTTCCATTTGGCGCTAAGATCCCAATGCATGAATTTGACGAAACTGTACCAACGATGAACATCGATGAAAAAATTCCGCCACCACCTCCACCGCCAAGAAAACCAGCTCCTACAGTTGAAACCAGGCCTCATTCAAGTAGTGCTGAAACTAGAGACCCAGAAAATTCTCGTGACGATCAAATTGTCGGTTTATCGCCTCCTCCAAGCCCAAGCTCAACTCTACGTTATCCATCAGTCAACCACGCCAACAAGCGCAGACCACCAAGCAGGGTTAAACCCCGGCCACCATCTGCACCATACAAGTTTGAAATTCCACATGCCACTCGACCAAAACCCGTCAGTGAAATACTGAAACCAACACGCAACGATCAACCCCCAAAAGCTGTCGAAGACTTCTTGTCGAAAGTCAAGACAACCACGCACAAAACCACGGATGAAAAGCCAGAAACAATCAGCCCTGTTTTAGGAGGATCCTTGACTGTAGAAGAGTCTTCTCAAAAACCGGAAGTAATAACCGCTAACAGTAAGGTTGTCATGAGCCATGACAACAGTATCCACAAACCTGGCACAGTCCAGGTTTCGGGAGCCTCACCGACACTCCAAACCGTGGTCATCGGCAAACCCATTCCAGAAGACTTGATTGCCCCAACGGCAGTCAAGAAACCGGAAATTACTCCACAATGGAGCAATGGCATCATTGTTGGCTCTGAAACTGTCTTCGAGGATGACATCCATCAAGTAACACCCTCGATCGAAACAAAACGAAAAGAACAACCGTTCAACCCACCTGCAGAAAACATCCAAACCAAGCCACCAGTCACTAGCATCAAAATCAAACCAACAAAATCTGTAGTGAGCCAGCATAACGTAATCAGCTTGGTTCTCAACCGGGATGAGTCCGCAAACAAATCATTTGACGGGCCCTACCAAATCCGTCAAAACTACCGACCAAAGCTGCCTGGTATCAAAACAGGCAATAAAATTCAGACCCCATCTGATGATGTACTCTTTGAGGAAATCGACCATCAAGTTGGAATTATTTCAGCTGGTTCAGACTCATTCGGGATGCCAACGCGCTTTATCACTCACACGCAAACACTATCTGTTACGATCACTGAAACGACGGTCGTTCAATCTGAAGGTCAGCAACCGTCAACACACACATTGGTCTTAACAAAGACGAAAACATCCACCTTAGTCGACACTGTAACTGAGCTCCATACCATCGTAAAGCCAACTCGGATTCTGTCAACAGTGACCACAACAATTCCAGTCCCGATAATTCAAAGTACAGTGGAGTACACACACCCGACGACTTCAACAACCCCTCAAGCCCCCGAACCGAAACCAGTTCCATCGGTAGAAAATGAATCAATATTCATTGTAATGTCAGACAAGAAAGGAATGAATCAGGTGCCCATGCCATCTGAGAGACCCGACATTCAGATGCCGGATGAGACCAATGAGATCTCTCCGAATGATGTGCTGCTCAGTGGAATTTTGACTCATTCTTCGGATAACGAGTGTCGGCCAGAGTGCAAGGCTGCACGCAATGAGCTGTGCCAAAAAATTGATAATGTGATGCGCTGTGTGTGCCGACCTGGATTTGCAAGAATATTTATGGATAGACCATGCAAGCGTAAGTTTTGAAAGTTTTAATAATGCTCTTTACTTTGAAACCTTTTGAAAATTTTCGAGGGAAAATTAAGATACATTCGAATTGAACGGTGAATTAAATTTTAGGAAAACAAAATAAATAAAATAGCATGGTGTCTATGATCTGAGAAACCAGGGTTCATCTGGAAGCCATAGATATCCGAGAAAATCCAGTAAGTTGTCAGGGAAAAGGTTTCGAAAACCAGGAATTTTCTCTGTTTCTGCTTCAAGATCAAAATATTTTTACATTTTTTGGTCCACATTGATGCAGTTTAAAGAGTTGGACCTAAATCTTTGATTTACAGTATATAAATTTTAGAAGTGTTTTTCTCCCCCTGAACTCGGGAAAAATCTAGATTTTCTCAAGAAAATCTGCAGAAAAATGAGAGGAGCCTCTAAGTTTTCATCATGGCATTTTCCCTTCAAAATCTCTGAATTTCAATCTAGAATTCAGAGAGAGCCTCAGAGAATTAAAAAAAAAATAAAGGAATCTAGACTACATGAAAAGAAGTCTTGCAAATTTTGCCCTGGAAATTGTAGCATTTTTTTCCAAGTTTAAGACTAAATTTTTATTGTCTTAGCCCAAGTAGTGCAAAAGAGTATGAACTTTGAGAATATTAAAACCTTGATCTCGTCTTCAAATTTCCTGCACGTAAGGGCACTTTTTCTTTGTTGCCAGTAATCAATTTTGTCAAAAGAGAGACCAAAGAAAACCAAACCTATAAAATATACAAACAGTCTAGCAAACTGTCATGAATCACTCCAACATACGATTTCTATCATTTTATAGCATTCATTATCATCTCATTCAGATAAAAAGGCAAAAATAAACACTTGAAAATGACCATGATCAGCAAACTGGTTTAAATTTGTACCCTCTGCAATCAAATTCTAGTGAAATTCCTATTCGAAGTTTTATGTCCAGATTATTTTCCAGATGCCATACAAAATTAATACTGATTCTCTTCTCTCTTATAGCAACATACACCTTCATAATGAAACTAGCACTGGATCGGTTCGGTAAAGAGAGGATCCGATACTCGGAATCGCTTGAAGACCCAACAGCGCCTTCTTACCACCGACTGCACGAAGCAACCAAAGATGGTTTGGACCGCATGGTAATGCAATCTACGTTGAGGGATGTTTATCATGGAATCATGATCAATAAATTTGAGCCAATCAGGAAATCGGATTCTGCTGTTGTCGACTTTTTAGTTCAGGTACTTTTTTTCAGTCTTCACATCAAGCAATTTACGATTTATGAGAGTTTTCTGTATGTTGAGCATATTTTCGCTGTCACTTCAAAACACATGCATAAAATTAAACTTTATAAAAAAAATTTCTTAATAGTTGTACTCAAATCTTTTTCTAAAGTGCAAATTTTATTGAATTTTCTTCACCAGATTGTCAGAGAAGTTAGTTTTTGTGGATTAATGTTTGCACTATAGTGATCCAAAATCTTGCACTACAGTTTTGCCAGGAAAGTAATCACAAATATAAACTCCAAGAAAAATGTATGAATTCTAATGACTTTACCAAGAATTTCCAAGAATATTCCATTGACTCCTCAGCAAATGAAAAATTGTGCCATTCAGCTCATTTATAACCTTTAACAAAAAATATGTGCAGAATAATTAATCAGTAATTAATTGTGCTTGTAATTTTTATGTTTTTTTCTTTTCTTTATTCACTTCCTGTACAGCTGTCAGAAAATACAGATGAAACAAACTTGAGAGATTCCATTCGCAAGTCATTAAGAACAACCAATTACAGCCTTGGTGGAACGGAAGTTTATGCGTCAAAAGAAATGATTCAACTCCTGCAAGCTCAAGGTTAGTACACAATTACTTTTAGTCAAACTCCTTGAGACAAAGTCAATCTAATTGCTCTTATCAAAAAGTATCCTATCTCCTCAACGAACCCATTAAAGGTTAATATTTTCAGAATGCCAGCAAATACAATGAGAAGAACTCCAAGCTTTTTCCACAAGATTTGAATGTTTCTAATTTAAAAAGGAACAAAATTTGAAAGAAATGCGTTTTAGGGGGATTGGTTATAAGATGTAAAGTACATTTTAACTCTTGCTGTACAGATTGTTTTATGCGTCCATAAAAATTGATTCTTCCGCAAGAAAAAAGACCATAACAGGAACCATTGACTACACTATCACTTAAAAAAGTAGGTATGTGAAATCATTTTAGTGAATTGTCCCAAAATAGGAAATTAAACTGATATTTACAGTTAAAAATCAGTAATTTTTGAGAAAAAGTGATTCTGAGTTCCTATCTGCCTTGTTTGACCTTAAAATTGTCAGATTGAAACACAACTTAATGCTTTTTGTTGTAAAGAAACTCAGTGAACTAGTCATTCATTGCATGTGAAAGAGAACAATTTATATAAAAAAAGCAATTACTAAATTTTTGATGCGACTCAGTATAAATTGTGATCCGAAGAAATTTGTCTTTGGGAACTGAAGTCTTGTTTTCTTGCGGATGGTCACCTTACAGTTGAAATTTTTTTTATTTCCATGCTGGACTTTCCGTCTTACATTGTGTTCTCTCTGTGGCAGATTTTGACGAATGTATTGACGCTAAGTACCATGATTGCTCCGACCACTCAGAATGTTTCAATTTGAAGGGTACATACACCTGCAGCTGCAAAGATGGCTTCACAGACATGTCGCACAACACACAGTTCCCTGGAAGAGTTTGCTCTGGTTTGTATAATTGTATACTTTTATAATTTCTGTCAATCCATAAATTTTCATCATATTTAGTTATTTTCTTTTCATTACTGAATGTAAATGTAAAGGGTACCTTAGTTTGAATTAGTCAAGGGTGTCAAGTTTTTAACAGAAAATGAGGGAGAAAGGGGTATATCCAAAATTTTGAGTACCAAGGAGAACATGAAAGAATTGACATCCCATTTTCAAATGAATCACTAAGACATCAATGCAAAACTTGTGGTGATATTGTACTCTTACCTAGATGCACAATTCATTAACATAACATATGCTCATATGCGTTTGTCATAACAAGGATGCAAAAAGCTCTGAAACTTCAACCTCTCTTTTGAGTTGTTGCCTTCTACAAAATTTCCGATTTGCCTCTCGAAAATGTCCTCTTTGCCCCAGTAGAGAACAAGCAAGGTCGTAACTTTTGAAAGTTGCCTCATCTTTGTCGAGGATCATAAGATCGTTTTTTTTTTGTACTAAATTGTCATAATTCTGGCTTGTGACCAACAGACCAGGTAAATTGTGCGCATCAAGATTTTTGCTGACCCCTGTGATCTAGCAAGGTATTGATGTTTTATTTTTTTTTCACCCTCATTGGTTTTTTCCTTCCATTTATCTTTTTCCTTTCTGTGCAGCTGAGCTAATTGGTTGTGACGCCTGTAGTCACCATGGAACCTGTTACACACGAGATGAAGGGGAGGTAATGTGCGAATGCTTCCACTGGTATGCTGGTGACCGCTGTCAGATAAACCTCAAAGGTAATGAACAGTTATTGTTTGTAATCTTTTATCTCCTTATCTGGAATGTGAACTGAACCCTCAGGGTTAAAATGCTCAAAGTTTCTTTCATATCAAATAACTTTTGCAAAAAAAATTTAGTCCAGCTAGTTAAAATGTAAACTTACGCATAGAACTGCTCCTTGCGTAACCGACCGCAGCCAATGTACCCCAGTCCACAAAAAGTCATAATTGAGTTACTGGTATCAGAACTTAAAAAATTGTTTCACAAAGATTTTGAAATGAAAAATTCTTAAAAATATTGATTTGAACTAGAGTTTGAGGGTTTAAAATTTGCAGCTCGAAATCTGTAATTTTGAGAAAACGCTATCGATAATTCTCAACTATTCGACTGTCATGTTCGGAATTTTAGAATTGCCCACTTGAAACGCATGTTTACATATTCTGTTGGCACAAAAATGAACTAAACAGCTAGCGTATTGTTTTTAGAACACTAGAAAAAGTCTTCTGTCAAAATCTGAAAATTCTATTTTTTGATTCAACTTGACATTACTGTCCCCACTGAAAAGTTTTCCTCTATGAATGAATATCCTTTTTCCAGTGGTCTCTCAGGAACACTTTTTTCTTCTTCTTTGTTTCCTAGAGGCTCACTCCACAATTTATTTTGATACCAAAGGAGCACCGTTATAGATCAGATTACCTGGCTCAATTCTAGGAATGGGGCAACTTCAGTCTATAGGTATATGAATCTTGGTCATACTTCTGTGATCATCAACAAAAACAAACAGCTTTTTTGTACACTTCAACTGATTAACTGATCAATAAAAATTATTTATCACTGAATTAGTATCACTGTCACTTCTTATTGTGTATTTTTTCTTAATTTTTCAGTTACGCTCCTGATTCTGGTAGCAGTGGGAGCTTTATTATGTGTCTTGCTGATAATATGCCTGGTTATGATGTGTCGGCCGCACAGTCAGGTCAGAATACCGCCAGGTGCGGGCGTTGGTTTCAGGAGGTACCGCAATATTCGAGGCATCAACCTAGCGCCAGACAAAAGAGCCATAGTCAGTATGGACACAAGTAGCGAAGAAAGTATTGAAAATACTCCTCCACCGTACATCAGACAGGTATGTTTTCCTTATCAATGTCTTCATAGTTGTACGTTTTCTTTAGTGTGGAGTGAAAGACAGACAACTACAAACAAAGTATAATATTGTCAATTGAATTGCAACTGTAACCCTCTTTTAGTGCTCTTTACTACACCACTCACCTCTTGCTCTCTAAACTAGGTATCAGTAACCTTTCTCGATCAAAAATTCAAATTCAAATTCTGATTTTTGACTCACTTTGACAGAAATTGCTCTCTAGAAAAATATGCATTTAGAATCCAGAACCTAAGACCCCATTGCTTCTGGATATTTTAAAAAGATCTACATATATTTAGTTCTTATATGCATCCTTCCACATACTTTTTACTTAGTTTCGTTCTTTTAAACAATAATTATCACTTCCATATGACAATCTATAAGTCGAAATAAAGCTGTCAGTCTCCTACGGTGTAGTGGTGGTAGCACTAGCTCTATGATCAGGAGATTCCCAGCCAGGTGACCAATCAAACAGCGGTGGCCTGAGGCTGGTTGTTGATTGGGTATTGAGGGGGATGGGATTTTGATTTTAAGAGCATACCTGCATACTTGGAGGTTCGTTTAAGTAATTTTTATAAAAGAGAAAGATTTTTCATGGGGCTACTGATGTTGCAGACGGGAATGAACAATAGTCAGCAACGGCAGAAAATGTTGCGACGTGCTGCTAAGTCAAGTTCACTTGGAAGCCATATGTCACATGGCTCGACTCTGAGGAGCAACGTGGTGGAACAGCGGGACCGGTCGCTGACAGTAATGATCCCGCGTGCCAAGTATAGGCCAGCCCCAGCGCAGCCAGGCTCTACGCTCCTGACGCTCTCCACGTTTGGACCGGAGCAAAAGTTGCTAAATTACCTCTCGCCAGACGGCCACCATACACCTGTCGATAAACAGGTAAGCGTGAAGAAACATTACTTTTGAATAGGGCAAAGTTCAAAAGTTAATTATTTATATCAAGAGTACCTAGATGAGGAGAGAATGAACGTGTTGAATGTGGAGCTCCTAGGATCCAAAAGGGCAGCCAACCTTCAAACACAAAAAGACTGGAAAAATGCTGCTGCCATTTTTTGGATTCCAAAGTTAAACCAAGATGACCAAGAATGTTCATAAATGAGCTTGGTTCCAGAAAAATAAGTTCTCTGCAAATACAAAGTTAAACACATGCTGGACCAACGACAGGTCATAAGAATTCAAGGGGCATTTTTCAAGGGAAAATTCGGGATATCCTGTAATTAAGTTGCGATTTTTTACTATATTATGGCAGGAAAATTATGAGGATCATCAATATCTGAGCAATTATCCTCAATCTTGTTTAAATTTTTTTCTTTATAATATTGCTCTCGATAAAATCAACATTTGATCACAATTTATCACTGTTTTTTGTTCGATTATATTGCGATAAATCGCCTACCATAAAATCGCTATTTTATTGCAAATTTATGTCCAATAAACGCTAATTACCGTGTCACCAAAACCACCTTGTCAAGTGGTCCATTGAAAAAATTTGCGTCAAAAAAACTTGCATGAGTCTTGAACTTACTTAATCTATTTTAATTTTTCAAATTTGTAGGCATCTAGAAATAGCAGTAGGAAGCCGAGTGCTTCAACACACCAGTCAGTTGAATCTTCACATCATAAAACAAAGCCACCAGCACCTCGGAGGCCTTCAACAGGTACTTTTATATTCCTTCCCCGCATTCTTGCATTTATTGCGTATATTGCGTATATGCGCTCTCGGTATATTGTGTAATGTATTGTGCAAAATATTGTGCTTGATCATTTGTGCAATCTGAGGAGCCTCTTTAGCAATCTTTTCGAAAATATATAATAAGAGCGGAAATGTTGAAACACTGCCACGAAGATAAAAGGTTTCTTTAATAAAGCCATTGGTAACAAGTAAAAAATGTATTCCATCGTGCTATCTTATTTTTCACATTTAGCCCACCTGTACATTATTCCTGGGTTTCTTCTACAAGGAAAAACCAGGAAACCCAAGGAACAGAATTTTAAGGGAAACTCCCGGGAAATTTGATGTTGACCATAGAATTTTCGCTATTTCAAATGGAAAGTCAATCTATTTGAACAAAGTAAGCACAATAATTCTTAGAATAAGATTGTAAGGTAGTCAAGTTAAAGAAAAAATTGAAAAGGCGGAGGTAGCCATTTTAAGTTGTCAGCCATCAGAACCTTGGGAGAGTGCTTGTGTAATACTTCTGTGACGAATGAGTTGTATGTAAATACAGGAAAAGTACTGGGAATTCAAAATTTGAAATTTATCAATACACCTGATTAATGCACAACCAATGTCGTGTCTATTTTAATACAGAATATTTGGCATCACCTCAGTAAAACCCTACAAAATCTTACATGTTCTCAATTTCAACGATCTTAATTCCAATTTGTAATTTTCAAGGGGCATTGGTGTCAGCTGGCTACGAAGTTTCTGCCACAGTTGGCAGGACGAGAGAGCTGGATGAAGCATTCATGGGTGACCATCATGACCTCGGTCCGCAGGGCTTCAATACAATGAGAACTGCAGAAAGGTAAGACATTCCTGCTGCACAAAAACTGAAATTCCTATCTCTGAACTGTATCACTAATGCAAGTCTTATCTAACTAAAAACTCTGGGAAGGAATTTTCCAGCACTAGACTATATCTTCCTTTTCATTAGCACCCAGCAATTTTTAGAGCACTCTTTTTCTAAGGAGCACGCAACCTCTGTTTATGGAGGGTGATCCAGAAATCTTGCACCACCCCTATGGTTATTGCCCCTTCTCAGGATATCTCCTTTTAAATTTTGGGAGTTTCCAAAAGTTGTTTCCTTTGATGTCGGAGCACTTTCAAAATTTCAAGTTGCTACCTCAATTTGTTACAAAGCTACACTGCCAAGCTGAGGAAGAACGCCGTATGAATATCGAGGGTTGCCACATTTTCTTTGATAAAATGTTCAATTTCGAGGAAACTTATGAATCCCTTAAAATTTTCAGGACTTTTTGGTGGGATTGCAGGAAAAATTATCTGAAAAATTGGGAGAAAAATATTCATAAGTTGACCAGGGAATTCGTGTTTTATCAAGGGAAATTTGGCAATGCCTGAAGGTTCATACGGTGTTCTCCCTTAGTACAGCAGTACAGGGTTAATGCCTACTGCTGGTGGCACGGGACTTTTGAATCACTCTCTATCATTTTGACATTCCAACCATTACCAGTTTAAAGCCCACGATGGAACAGATTTTTTTGTAATCCAGTGATGAAGTATTGTCTTTTCTTTTTTGTCATTTTAATTTTTTTTTTTTAATTTCTCCTAAAAAATGTTGCAGGATACCCTTTGTGCCCTTGAATTTGCGACCTTTTCTAAAATGGACGTATTTCTGTTATATGGAACCATGTGCATCACGATGTGAGCCTTGTCACGCATATATTCTTATGGGTCTCACGGCTCATGTCTTAATGCACATAGCTCCGTTTGGCAGAAATACGTCCAAATGATGGTAGGAGGCATCAAAAACTTCCTCTTCGTTCTTTCTTCTTTTTCTTTCACCAGTCTTAGTAGTCTCATTGAATAAACGTTATCATAAGCTAGAATGGCAAACTATGATTTGTTCCAAGACTTTAAGGAAAATTTAGAAACATCTCCACAATAATTGAGTGGTATTTCATGTTCTAAAAATGCATTGTCATTAAGGATAAATATTCTACAGCCATTTCACCTGCAGCGCAAAGTGACCTGTTAACATACCGATAACTTCTGACTTGTCACATACCTTTTCCTTGTTATCCAGTTCCCATGTTTCATTTTACAATTTGACTTTTCCGATGCAATTTAAAGCTTAAAAAACGGTCTTGGCATTCAAAAGTATTTAAAATTGAGCAGTTGACGCCTAATCAGTTGACTGACTTTAAGAGTAGGGTGAGAGATCCGCAGTTTTCATTTTTGCAGTGAAACAAAATGCACAGATCAAGATGGCAAGTCTTCGATCTCCCTTGAAACTTTGGTCTATCTGGCATAAATTCTACTGAATGACATTTTTGAGCTGATACTTTCTTTGGTTTTAAACTTCCATCTCCTTTTAATTCCCCCACAAGTACTCTCCGAGTTCTATTTTCCAGCCCTTCTCTCTTATCTGTATTCTTTCGAACGTATCATCCACTCTCAGATCCTCTTTTTTTCAACATGTCATGGCAATCTGACTTCCTCTGAACTCTTTTGAAGGATTCTTAATTGAATTTCAATTCCTTCTTAACTCTTTTTGTTTTCAGCGGCCTAAGTTTGGTCATCCCTTCGACTCCGACTTTGATTACTCAGTTAGAGGACCCCATCATAAAGTGTGTTGACAGACTGTAAGAATTCTCCTCTCTTCTCTCTTCCTTTACTGTCGCTCAAATTGAGCTGTCTCATAACTATTTTATTCATCAATATCTTTTTGGTCTGTCCTTCTTCTCTTCCAAGTCTTGTTCTTTAACTGGTGACTTTAAAATCATTTCCACGTTACTTACTCCATTAATTTCAGTAGATATTATGTACCTAATCAAAACCTTTTTCGAAGTATGCTTTCTTTTTAACTTTGTTACTATTCATTCACTGCTTTCTGAGCTCTTTCCATTTTTAATGGTGCGCTGGTTGTAGATATTTTACCAACAAACTGAATCAGTCATATCATCAAAATTTTGCTACCTACCTTTTACCTCGTGCTAAAAAATTTCACTTATAAGTTATTCTTTGTATTGAATTCTCTGTGTGATATTTTTGCAGCAAGTTTACTCATGGGTGCGGAAAAAGTTTTCCTTTCAAACTTGTTTGATCTTTATTGAAAGCTTTGGAATTTTTCCGAAGTAATATTACAAAGAAATTATTGAAAGTTCTAAAAACTCTTCCACCCTCTCATAATATTAACTTCAGATAAAGAGAAGTTCGAAATGGAATTGTGCACTTTCACAACAAAATAGATACGGTTGAGGAAATTTAAATTTTTCCTGCTTTTTTATGTTAACAGCAATCCAGGATTCCCTGAGCTTGCATTTGCTGCACCCTCAGTCTTTTTAAACCATGTCCTAACTGCTTGTAAATTTACCAACTTCTATCAGAACTAACAGAACTAACTTAAATGAGTCTGATAAAAATTCCTCCACGAATTTATGTCTAAAAATTATTTGCAGAGGAAAGTAGAATTGAAAAGTAAGCTACATGTACATTTTCCTTTATTCCTTTAAGTATTTTCTTTGCCTGCATTAGTATTAATATCTGCGTAAAAAGATACCGTTAAGATTATGGATACATAAATCATGACTTGCCTTGCTGAGAGCAACATAATTTAGTACCCATTTTCTCTTTGAGCTAAATATTTCAAGCTTAAAATGGTAGAGTTTAAGTTTTACCAATTTTATTCTTCATTTCAAATTTTTGATCAATGTAAATTAAGATAAAAATGATGCAAACAGCTTCATCATCGATGATTCTTCCCCCATCGAATCGTCTGCTTCCAAAAAAGAACATGCTCACACTGGCCATACTTGAGTGAGCTCTATACACTATGATGATAAATGCACCTCGTGGCTGGTCAGGAAATGAGTTTGTGATGCATATGCAGAGACAGATGGAAATTCCCTTACTATCCTTCCCCCTTCAATAAAGCCCTTGCTAAAACAGCCATGATGTACGTAGTCATAACACTAACCACGTTAGGGATCCACAAATTTTCTACTCGTGTATTACCAGATTATTTACATGACATTTCTAAAGAGTATTCTTGAGAGCGCAAATAAAAGTCACACAACAGTTTTTTTCATAAGAATTATTGGTTGTTCTTCAGCAATTTAAATATAAAATGAAGATGTATGTGTACGTTTTTCTAAACTCATCATCAACATCTAATCGTTAAAACGTCCTGCATTTTTAAAGGGTTATTTATACGTAAATAATTCCAAGTACACCAAAAATCTGGAAGATTAACTCAGTATTCTAATTCAATTTATTTTTGTAGGACTGTCTCAGAGGCACGATCGTACGATGAAACGACGATCCATCCACCAACCAAAAGACTTCATGCGCACAGTTGCCATTACGACTCAAAACACTCATCTTCGCATAAAACAATGAATGATGTAAGTATTTAAATACCTATAAGTCATGGCAGAAAAAGGTGGTACCACAGTATCTCTCCATTCTAAATTTTGAACAAATTTTATCTATGTTTTAAAACCTTTCTGCCGTGGTTTTTTCTCGCTCTCTGCAATAATTTTGAAAAAAAAAAAAATTCCACTCATTCGATTTTAGTGTTAAAAGGAAAAAGACCTCACTGCTAATGAACTCAGAATGGAAACACTAGTATCTTTGCTCATGAGAGTCTTACAAAAATTTTGGGGTAAAAAACATTCGAAACCGTCAATCAAACCGGATTTTCGATTGCTTGAAGTTGGCAACTTAAAAACAGTAATCTTCAGAAAGCTCTGAAATTGAATTCTTTACCCACCATGTTCCAGGCTCAAAGTTGTTTCAACATGTCGTCAATGCAACTGTACGCCTGCTGCTGGCTTTAAAAGACTCCTAGCCATTTTATTCTTTTTAACTTTGAAAAGAATCTCCCTTCAAAATCTCAGAATCCAATTTCTATACCCAACAGGACAAAAATCACTTCTTAGAAAATTTTTCAGTCATGATTAACGGTCACAAATGAAGACTTCGTACCAAAAAACACCAGAAATCGAAAATTGAGTCAGACATAGTATTTCATTTTAAGCATCAAATATAACATTCCGCATATTGGTTTATGTGCCACCAACACTAAAGTAGGGCATATAATGTCTGAAAGATACTGTTAGTAGCATATGCTGCGGCAGCTGTCAGAAATTAAAGTGTGAATAATTGGATATTAACGTTTCTGAACTTAGCCTACTACTGATGACAAGTCTGGAAATGTTGCATAAAGTAAGTAGACTGCGTCAGACTTGATGTTAGTCACTTTATTTAAGAATGTTGTCTAATACGGGGAATGGGAAGATCATATTGACGGTTTAAGTAGGCAATCACATAACTTGGTTTGCGACATTGCAAACCTCCTATCATACTTTATTTTTTAAACGGAAAACTACTCAGCGGCAATTCTTTAAAACTGCCATGATTTTTCTTCTCTGTGCGAAGAAAATTCTGCAAAAACTTCAAGGAATCATATCAATTTGTTCTTTTTTAAAAAAATAACATAAAGGCGGAGATTTTTAGACACCGCAAACGAGTTATGTGGTTGCCGACTTACACTGTCGATGTGCAGTTATTCTGATACGAATGGCCTGATTTCTTTTAAAGTAAAGTAAAGTTTGGAACTTGGATTTTTCATCTAATTTGTTATTTTTTTTTTCACTCAGGAGGGCCATACAATGGTTGAACGAGATTTAGGTTCAACATTCCTGATGCCACAAACACATCTTTACAAGCCTGATCACCGGGTAAGAACTCAGAATTTCTACATTATTTATAATTCTTACAGATCTTTAAAAAGGCTTGAATTTACTTGATCTCTTTTGTCCAACCTATCATCAGAAATCAGAGAAGATGCAGAAAATTTATTTCAATTTGAAATTTCACAAATTTTCTCTCCATTCCATTTCAATGCAAGGGAACTGGTTTGTTTTCTTTCTATTCATTCTTTCATGTATGATTTTTTTTAATTATCAGAAAACATTCCTTTAAAATTGGTTGCCAAAACATTGATCGGTTCTCTCTCGAGGAAATGAAGTAAAACAAAAAGGATCATGCAGTAAATACCAAGAAATTTAATCGGTTAATTTCTATATTATGTATTTGAAAAGTTGCTCTTCGCAACTCACTAAGCTTGGTGAGCTTTTGAAATCTTGTGTGCCAATATCAAGAAAAAAGGGGCTGAAAAGTGAATTTTTCAGCCTTTTTTCACGTGCTTTTTGATGGAGCTTTGTCTGCACGGACTTGCACCACACACTGTTATCATTAGAAAGGACTTAGGTAATTCATTTTGCCTGTCTTATCTTCTTAGTATCCAAGGAAACAAAATCTCTCCTTGATCATCAAATCAGATGTAGCAACATTCCCGCCGAACATTGAGCGCATAAATGTCATTAAATTCACTTTTCAGCCTAATTTTTCTGAAGATTGGCACATAGAAAGTTAGATTTTCCATGCTCATCTTGCTTCGAAAGCCATGAAAAACATGGTATCAAGTAATGACAAATCATCTCTTAGCCAGAGCTGAATTTATTGGTATTTTGTGCGTAGTTTTTTGTAAAAACTGCAGGCGAGGTATGAATTTTTCCAGTTTTATCATTGATAGAAAATACTAGTCTTTCTTTTGATATTTCTTTGATTTTGCATTCCAAGAAGAGTCAACCAGTGCATATGATAGTACTTTTCCTTGATTTTTCTTCAAAAATTTGATTTATAGAGAAATTTTTGAAAATATATGATCCTTTAAAATTATCTCATTTCAAATTATTCAGCTTTTTATCACTGAGAAAGAGGTAGCGGCGTCCTATTGGTTTTTGGTTAGCAATCAACACAATTCTGTTACCGGATTTTTTGGAACTTGTGAAAATGAGCTATTACTATTTAGTGCCAGTTTTACAGTTCAAGTAACCTAATAAACAGACACACCAGGTGAAAATGCTTTAACTCGGAGTTTTGTAATTGGTTCCAATACAGCCAGCTGTTTCTGACTACAGTGGATCTATCAGAGTTTATCGTTTTCAGAATAAGGGTTGAAGCTTTGATAGCTCATTGATAAGGGTTTCTTTGAAAACCTCTAGGTAGAGATGTATTGTAAATAAGCGACTTAAACTTATCTTTGCCATATTATTTCATTTTAGGGGAGTGATGCATCCAATTTTGACTCTCTTTGACACGAACCAAAAACAAAGTGGATCAGAAAGTATTACTGATTTTGACTTAAAGGTAATTAACTCTTTCATTTCTACTGTTCAATACTCTTGATTTTTTCTTTCTTTTTTTTCTTCTTCTTTACAATCACAACAATTGAGCAGCTTTCCCTAGAGCCCATTGCAAACGATTTTGTCTGAGAAGTATGCATTTTAAGTTTCCATAATCACTTTCTGGCCTTTGATAGTGACTCACACTTCAGTTGGACTCAAATTTCCAATGTAAGTTAATTGATGGCAGAAAATAAATAATCAAAACGTCCAAAGCCGTTTTCCCAAACGTAATTTTTTGATATGGACCCTTCTTCCAGGAAGCTCCTCAATTATGTCAAGTTTCAAGGTTTGCTGAAACTTAACACCGTTATCCTGATGAATTTTAACTCAAAGCTCTATAATTACCATGGCAGAATTGTAAGTCTATCGCGCGCAAGAGATATGACCAACTGAGAGGAATCTTCTCGGGTAAAATTGTAAGAAAATTGTGTTGAGCACCTATGTCTAAAATACAATTTGAAAACACACTTTTTGTGCAGTTGGTATCATTCACGTTCATATAATCTGTTTATAAAGTTTAAAATCTGACATCGTTCTGCCCTGTAAGATATTATAGAAAGCGTTTAACTTTTTACAGTTGAAAAATCTGTCACGAATTCAGATAGTAAAATCAATTTACTCATAATTTAAGACTCAAGAAATACTTTGAAAATTTACTGAAATTTTAAAGTTATTTCACCCCTCAAATTTGTAATGAATCTCGATCGGTCAAAATATAAGTGCTCATCCTAAAATTTTAGATAAGCGAACAGTGTCTGATCTTGCTTTCTGGTCTCTATTGATAAAAGTTAGACTGAAAAAACGTGATTCTTCATCCCATTTTCAATTATAGCACCTACTCGAAAAGGTATGCCCTCATCCCAGATATCTCAAAAAGAATTCGAGATGTAAAGTTTCTGGTCCTGCAATTCTATCAATATACAGTGTGTTGTCTCTTGTGTAACTCTAATATGGAACCAATTATTTTTCAGTTGCAACTTTGCTCAAAAGTTACAAGCCAGGAGAATCCACTTGTCCGGAAATCAAGCCCTTGGAGAGACTCTTGTAACGGCATTTAGTTTTTAAGATGAATAACCAGTCATAATGTAGTGTTAGCTCTTATCTAGCTCAATAGTATTAAAGTAATTAACTTATTTTCAGCGCATCCAAATTGTGCCAAGAACCGCTCTATCTAAATCGTTTCACAAGATCCATTTTCATTTTCCAGGCGCATTTCGATAGCGCTGATTCGTAGCTTCTTGGTGCAATTAGGAGGCAGCTTGTTTATACCTCGACGATTTATTTAAAGTGACTTTCATTTTCAAGAATTCCAGGAGCCTGTCTCGAGGCAATACTGTTTGTGATTTTCATGGGTTCTCGCCAAGTAAAACCCATTTTTACTCTTTTGCCTGGGAAATGGATTAGTCAGTCATCGACATCAGTTTTTGACTGAACATTGAAACTTGAATCGAGAGTAGGAAATTCGTTTGATTCGATGATATGTCCTTAGTTTGTGATGTACTACACTTTATGAACAAATCAACCATGTTCAAGCTGCCAGTATTTTTGTAAATGTTGATCTTCAAATCTTTCCATCCACGTTACATCGGCCAAAACCTCCATTAAGACTTACCTGCCAGTTCACTGAAAATCACTGCCTACTTTCAAAATTTTAAAAATGTTGGCCAATTGTGGGTGTGAGCGGAAACGTCACTCAGTCGAGTGGTGGAAAGTTTCCTGTTAGAACGTTTTGTTTTTTGTGGTTATACTTTCTTGCTAAATCAAATTTAGATTGATTTGAAGTTTAATGAATTGAATAGTCTATCTAAGTGTTGTTTTTTTCTTATTTTAAATTTTATGTCTTACAAGTTGATTTATTTTTTTTATTTATTTTTTTTTTTTTTTGGATTGCTCTATTGTATTGTTGAGGATCGGAGCGATTCGTTTGTTTTTACTTATTTGTTCAGTTTTTTTTTCTTTCGGGAACTATTTTTTGTTTTTGTTCTGAGCTTGAGGCGAATCCAAAGACCTAGCCTACTTGGGAAATAAAATTCTTGCAGTTCTACTTTTGGACTACATTTTGCAATGAGACACTACAATTTCTGGCTTATTCTAGAAACATCTTATGCGTCTTCAATAACCCTGTAATCATCAGTGTTTTTGTGGATAAGCTCCCAATTGCAAAATGTAGTCCTTTTGTTCTTGATGCCTTTTTGAAGAAAAAATTGACGAACAAATTTTCATGGGGAAAATGTATCAGTAAAGCATATTCATGTTACTTTTTTGTTTTTTTCTGTCATGCATTTACCTGTGAACATAAGTTCTTGTACCTGATCAGAATTGTACAGTTGGTCTTAGTCCAATTATTTTCCATCTTTCCTTATTCACTGTTCTCATTCTGTGTCCATCAAATCAGTGTTATACTTCGATCATTTTCAGGGAGTATGAATATATTGTGATGAAAGCTATTTTTCCATGCCCAATTCTGAACAAATTCTCTTTGAGTAATATGGCTGTTTTACTTATTTACTGACTGACTAACTTACTCACTGACTCATCTACTCAATGTTCAAGGCTGCAATTTTTCTTTTTGTATACTGTAAGTTAAGCAATTTTATATTACATTTTGTCATTCTTATCTTGCCAAAAAACTCCTTTTCCATGTTCGGCATGAACAAAAGAGGCTTTGATAGCCTCTTACGTCAAGCTTGGAACAGTCTAATGTATTTACTGTATGTTACCGCAAAAATCTTAAACAGAGTAGTTTATTATTTGCTTTTCTATATGTAACTAATACTTCAGGTCCAAAAATTGTTTGAGGCCTTGGTATGACTCATTAAGTTTCTGCGATTTCATAAAATAACAAGGCACAACGAGGAAAGTGCTGGTATACTCCGGAAGCAGTTTACGTACAAAATATAGCAGAATCCATCCCTGCTGTCTTTGCCAAATGACGAGAAAAATTTGAAAACAAAAGCTCTGGTGTGTTTTGGTGCAAGACCAAAGTAGAGTCAGAACTATAATTAGGGAGTATATTATCTCCAATTGCAGTAAACTGTTTTCATAATAAGTCAGCGCTTTAATGTGAGTCATTCTTCGGAAAGCAATTGGTTTTTATGTGATCTCAAAACCTCACTGTATCCCAAACATCTTGAGCTTATGATTATCATCAGCTAGTCTCAAATTGGGTTATATTTAGCAATACGAAACTACCATTTTTGGCTTATCCTTATAAGAACGTTACTGAGAAGAAAAACTAGTGGCATTTGTGTGATTTCTAAAATGAGTCAAAAACAGTGGTTCCTTATTACAAAATGTAGTCCATTTGTGAAAATGACTTTCAAGGACGCTTGCAGATAATAGTTACATATACAAAGCAAATCTAGGCAACAGTGTTGCCATTTTGTGCCGTGAAATGACCAGAATTTTTTTCTACAAATATTCGGTTTCTAGGCATAATCTGGCAACACTCATAGGAAATAGAATAATGTAATAGAACCACTGAGCATTGTGCGTCTGTTCTTCAATTAATTATAAATTTGTAAATATTAGTTTAATTTAGGTAAGGTTTTGTGTAAGTAGTCTAATTGTTCAAATTGATAGGGTTCTAATTGAAGCGTTTAAACTAAAGGGTCAGAATTTTTGTTCCATCCTACTTTTCTAAGTGAGAGGAAATCGAAGGCATTTTATTGTCAATTAAGATCTTCTGACAGCTGTGGCCGCCATATTCTTGCGCAGCCTTACTCCAGGTTTTCTCTTTAAGACTAATCAGATGTTGCTAAATTCAGCTAATCAAAAATTCTCAAAAAATGGTGTAAATGCTGAAATTGCTTAATTGAGGAGCTCGCTGAAAGAAATTTTTGAAGTGGTAAGTGTATTCCTAAAGTAAGATTGCAATTGAAATTTATTTTCATTCCTCTGGAGTTCATGCCAAAAAAGTGAGCTGACTTTGGGTGAAAATGTTTCACATCATGCAGGATGGGTTCATGGGTGACCATTGCGCAAAATTTTAATGCATAATAAAAATAGCAAAAATTCTATTCCACTTTATAATTCAGCCAGTTGACTTGGCTCGAACTCTACTTAGATTTATGTCTTTGCGGTTAGAACAATCCCTTCACTGTCAAAGTGCTTCTTCCACGGGCCTCTCTTTGGGAAAAAAGTATCTCTGCTGTGTTTTATTTTTGTGCGATGTAACGTTAAGGAAAAAAGCTTCAAATTTTTTTTCTGTAACAGTCTCTGGAAGGTTATTTAATAATAATTCCAACCACCAGTTAAACTAAGGCAATTGAATTCTCGTCAGCTTAGTCTCAGAAACTTATGGGGGTTTAATTCATATAATTCTTAAGTGAATGTTTCTTCCATTCTGACCCTTTTTGAAATTTTAAATTCAGTGTTGCCATGTAAATTTTGATTTCCCCCAAGGAATGGCAATTGCAACGAAACAATGTGGAAATCGAGTCATCTTGAAATGTTGTTAACAGAATCTCTACGATTCTGTAAATTGAGTCATAAGTCGGCAACCGATTTTGTAAATTTTAAAATTGCCATGTATTTATTTTGTTAAGACTTTGTAAATTTTGTCATTTATTTCTGTAGCAAATTTCAAGCCCACGAATTCTGATAATTCCTCCTGACAATCCTCCAGGAAACTCTGCTTTTGACTATTTAAAGAAAGTGAAACAATCAAGCAAACTTTAAAATTTATTAGGGTTGATGAACTGAGTTTGACCTGCTTTAGAAGTAAATCTTTGAGATTCCTTCACATAAGTGGTGAACATCAGTAGAGGTTCCCTAAATTTTTTCATTCAGTTCCTAGTTCCCTCAAAATAATGACATTGATCATATCAGGGACCTGTGCAACAGGAGCGACCAAATGGAGGAAACGCCTCCAGATTGCGCTAGTTTTCAAACTTCATGTTTGAATAAAGTCTGTATGTAATTATAATAATGTGAAGCACCTCATCTAGGTGGTAAAATTACACAACAGAAGAGTATGATATTGAAAATCAAGTCAATTTTACATTCCAATTGCTCTCTCAAAATTTTCCCTGCTTCTCTAAAAACTTTTGCCAAGTCATTTTGGAATCTGTCTTTCAATATCTAAGGTCAGTCTATCCAATACTGAAGTGTTTCTTGTTCCAAACATTTTCTTCCACTGCATTTCAACAGTGAAACTGCAGGAACGGGTACCTCATTAATGGTGTTTCAAAATTCCTGCTCCCATTTTATTTCATCAAATTAGATCAAACCAACGCTATTGCTTGAAATTTTCACCAAAAGTTCTTTACTTAGATAAGAAAAATCGGGGAAGTTTTCCAAAAATACCGTTTATTATTTGTTCATTTGAAAAATTTAGTATGACAGGAAGTCTAAAAACTGAGTTGCACTTGATTTTAGTTTCACTATCGATTTCACGAACAGAGTTTTCTGGCAAGGGTCCTATATAATGATTAAAAATTTAACTCGGATCTTTTCTATTTTTGACACTCATTCTGTTATCTTTATAACATTCAAGAAGAGTTATTGTACCTTGTAACCACAGTGCACCACGTCGCAATTGTGATAGCAGGGAATATATCTCTGAATTCCACTGGAAATTAGAACACTTATTAGCATTTTATCGAGGATGCGATAAAACATTAGAATACTTTTTTTAGCTGCATTCCTTTTTTTGATCAAGGGAAATAAATCATTTGAAGATCGTGCCAAAATTTTGTGGATATTCAACTAGTGTCATTATTTTGTAATTATCCTGGAATATTCATATTTTTGTACAGAGATTATTTTAACTAATAAATTTATTGTATTTCTTCATTTTGTGCACCTGTTTTTCCTTTCATTTCCTAGTCTATTATCTCAAATTCAGAGTTTTATCTTTGGCTTACTGCATAAGGAGACAGGTTTAAAATCAGAGGGACTTTATAGCTGAGGCTACTGGCTACTGTTAATTCTGAGTAATAGCAACTAAAGACCCTGCACATAAAATTTCAGTATTCGTAGCCTTGTTTAACTTTCCTTTTTTCTTTCTTTATTTCCTTGGCCAAAGAGATTGATGGCTAAGGAAAAACACCCAGTACACTCTACTACAGGTTTGGACAAATGGAATTTTAGAAAGCCATCGAAACGCGTAGATTCGACAGTGTCCAATGATACGATTGCAACGCCATGTTGAAAACTTATTTACTTTCTGTTCTGAGAGTGGGTCTTGTCAATTTCGTGTTATTTTTTCAAGTCCTTAGTTAAGCTTTTCGTTATTTTGAGTTTTATCAATTTTTTAAAATTTATCTGATAGCTTATTGAAGCCACCAGATCTGCTAGAACCTTATTTTAAACTACGCGGCAAAGACGATACGACTTGCGACGTTACTCAATGGCCTATATTCTCAGCGCTGCCACTTAGGCACCCGATTTGTCCATATCTGTAGTAGAGTGTACCTTGGAAAAACACCGCCTGCTTGCAAACCGATAATTTTGCAGAACAAAAAGAAAACTTGTCCATTTTTGTAATTAGAGGGTTGTATTTACAATTTTTTTTTATAAATTACAGCGCCATTACAGCACTTCCATGCAGAATTGGACAAAACTAAAACCATCAGATTGCCTATTTGATACTGCGGAATTCAGAAAAGTTGCTGACTCATTTTCACCAAAATTGTCAGTAGGTGGTATTATTCCTTTTAGCCCTCGAAGTGTTGTAGGCCTCAATGAAAGTAGATTTCACGGAATTCTTCTCTTTATCAAAACCACACTTCTTTGGTGTACTGAACAATAAAAGATTCTTCAACTTTTAGACAGGGGATGACAGTCAGGCGTGAGAGCCTGGGAAAATCCCGGTTGGCTGATTGATAATGGACCACTAGACAAGGTACGAATTTCAGCATTCTGATACATGCTTCTCAACCAAAATTTCACGTAGAACACGATGCGCACAACGAAAATTACCGAAATCAACTCCTTCCGAAGATATTCAATAATTCTCGATGCGTGAATTCAAACCACCCGCTCATGAAAACTCAATGCTCTACGTGATTCACATCGCGCACTAAACGTTATCATGACAGTCTCTGCGATATAAAAATCTGGCAACCTCAATCTTGACACTTTGGCTCAGCTATCGCAAATTGCTAATAGTTTGAACAACACATGGTGGGAAATGAACATTGCTCGATTGAGAAGCTTGCTGAAACCGTTGTAGTGCGCGATTTGACTCACGTAGAGCTTTGAGTTTCTTGTGAGCGGGCAGTTCAAATTCCTCATAACCATTGTGAAATAAAAACGTTAATATCTTCGTTAGGAGTTGGTTTCAGTCATTTTCGTTCTGTGAATCGTGTTCTACGTGAAATTCTGGTTAAGAAACATGTATTGGATTGCTTAAATTTGTACCTTGTCTAGTGGTCCATTGTGGTGATTCAGACTGTGTTACTCATCTCTTGTACACAGCAGTACGACGAAAATGGGTTCGTTCTAGCACTGATGGATCTATATTATCAATTACTTTTTTTGTCCTGGTCCACTCCTGTTATCAGGCTCTCTTGGAGCACAAGGAAGTTATGTCCAAGACCAGACATTAGAAATAAATGCATGCTGTAGACGTACTTGCATTACAGAAACATACTCAGTTTATTTCTGTTGAGTACCCTTAAAAGCAGTGATGATTAAAAAAATTAAATTACTTACAAAAGAATAATAGAAAAAAAATTAGAATTCAAGAGAATAGAGGCATGAAAAACTTGTTAAGTAGATGATATTTTTAAAAAATGGGAAACCCATTTCACGCATTTTTTAAAGAAAACGAGTTGAGATTTACCTAATTTTTTATTTAAATTGTATTTTTTTTTCAATTCATTTTGAATAGAGGGGGAAAAAATGTTACTAAAACTTATGACAGCAAGACACTAAATATAATTTTTTAAATGCAAATGGATTAATAAAAACGTTTCTGACTCTTTACAAAGCAGAGTTTTGTGCAGGGAATCTATTTCATGAACATATATAAGCTTCTCCTCTCGAAACTTGTTCGTATAAACAACTAGCTTTAAAGGTCATTGCTGCACCGATGTGAATAGTTCATTTCTAGAAAGTTTGGTGCACAACAGCTTTAGTGGTTCTCTACAATCAACTTCTCCCCCCCCCCCAAAAAAAAAAAAATTACCAAAAGTAATCTTACAGAGTTAATGAACAAAAAACTAGAATAATTTTCATATTTTATGAAAAATGTATTCAACAACTATGAGATATAATGAAAATGATAACATAATCTTCCATTACTTATTGTACAAAACAAAACAGAAAGGTATCAAAAATCTATTGGAATTAGGTAAGGATCTAGATTTGGATAGTACGTGAAATAGATCAATTGAAACCACCTGCATTTTTAGACAGTAACTGAGTAAACCGTTGGGTAACTAGAAGAGAAACATCGATAAATCTATCCACACAATTTGATAAGCACGTTTCAGTCTTGCTGTCTAGTTTGTTTGAGGGTTTTTCGACACACTTGTCCCAACAGATTTCATTGAACTCGTGGATCTGAAAAAGAAATTGGGAAAATGGATTAGGTATTTATTTCATCAGTATTCACCACTGCCTTGTGTACTTTGTACAGTTTAAAATATAGATTAATTTACTAGTGAGGGTAAAGGGTACCCTAGGAGTTAGCAACATTAAATGAGACACACGACTCACAAAGACAAATTTACATTCTCTGTTCCTGGTGTATTCTGCATTGTCCAACCTGGCGGGGCCACCGCCAAATCATCCGCGGTTCAAGTGTATTTTAATTTTCATGGACAGTTTCAGCTTCCGCCCAACATTTGAGAACTTGCTGTTGGTCGAAAAACTGCAGAGTCTAGTATGAGCTCATCACACTCTAATTCTAACTCTAAAAACACACTAATATTAAATATCATCCAGTCTATAACATCTGATAAAGAGAAATTTGCTCATACATTGAAATCGGCACTGCAGCATGGCCATGGCTTTTCGGAGCATCATGAGCGGTGTTCTGCCTTCCTTCTAAAATTTTAGGAGCCACCTTCACCGGAAAGCCCAATTTTAAGGAGTCATCGACTATTTTTTAGGAACCAAATTAAATTTTTGCATATGGGCCATGGCAAACCTTCTCGCTCTCGAGCTGCGCTGCGAACGGTACATGTAGAGAACGCTTTATTGCTACCGCTGCTCCCCGGTTGCAAGATCAATCTGTCAAATTTTTTAGGTGCCACCATAGCCCAGCCTCCACAATTTTTGGGGGCCAAGCCCCGATCTTTAGGCGCATTTGGCGCATGGCGCCCGGGGAAGGCAAAACACTGGTTATGAGTAGTATTTTAAACTGGCTTCAGTGGGCCTGGCTTGAGGCAGTCCCCTGGCAAGCCAAGCCAGGGGACAGAATCGAGGTCATGTTAAAATAATGTAAGAGTGAATTTGGAATTTACAACGTCAACTGCAAGACATAATTACCTGCGCATTGAATTGTGCTCGCTGCTTCTCTATGACTAAGAATTCTTGAAGTTCCTTATCACCCCCGCCTCCTCCATCCTTGTCGGACGGGGAGGAATCAGAGCTAAAGCTAAACAAATCAGACATTGTTAATTGAGAATAAGGAACTAGGATTGAAAAATGATAAAGTTAAGTACTTATCACAGGTTTTGCACACTTTTTTTCAGAGTGTTTCAGAGTTTCAGAAGACTAAAATAATAATAACATAACCTAGATAACATCACGTCCAACATTCCTCAGTCCAGGGTCGCCGGATTGAAATCGAACCAAAAAGCTCGGCAAGGAACCTGGAAGAAAGCCACCGCCACCACCGCCACCCGTCTGTCAAACTTCGTGAGAGAGCTTTTCAGTTGTGTTTTGATAACCCAAGTTTCAGTTCGGTGATAACGATTGTGTTTTATAATTCAAATTTTCCGGTAATAATCAAGCGAAAATGGACGGACGCCCGAAACTGAAGGATGAAGCAACCTATCAGAAAATCCAATCCTACTTTAATTCGAAAGGATCCAAGTTGAATATCTTGCAGCTATTCAACGAAGACCCCTCAAGATTCCAATCCTTCAGGTAATTTGCACCACTCCTGGATTTTGTGACCTCCATGTGACTTTCAGAATCCTGTCAAGATTGCGAAGGATAACACCGCAAAAAGTGTCATAATCTGTCTAAAGAGATGTGATGACTCAAGGCAATGAAGTTTTGCGGCTCAAGTATCCTGAGCTTATGTAATGTTTCTGAAAATTGCCTCGGGAAAAGTTTGTTGACCATTACAGAAATGTTAACCGGAAGCATGCTGCATGGTTGAGAAGTGAAAGCCAAACCTGTTTGCCTCTAGTAACCATGCCCACCACTTATCACCTGTCGGATTTTTATTTGTCATGTATAGTCCTCCTGATGAGTAGGTTTTCCAGGGCCTTTCATTTGCATTCAGTTTTCCTTTCATCAAAATCAACTGTCTCCTCAACTAGTCGTTGTACTTATCTGTCAAACCAAATTGCGGTGCAAAAATTGCAATTGCCTCTGTGTTCTACAGCCCAAAATTTTGCTTACATCTCATTTCCTCAGTAAAGAGCACCAATATTTCCCGGATTCACTATCAGCTCCAAAAATTTTCAGAGAAAGAACCCTGAAAAGGCTTAGTACTTATCGCTTAAATCAGGGTTGTATTCCTCTTGTGTCTTTCTAGAAGCATGATGTAACAATCCCCTCAAGGAAAATAATACGCAGTTGTCCTTGCAGGTAATTCAAGTAAATCACAGTATCCTGCTCTGAGTGATGTAATTATCAAGATAGTGAGGTCATTTCCACAGAGTTTTCTCCTTATGCTGAAAACAACCCAAGTCTCTTTTTTTACAGAGACCAACAGATTTAGGAGGAGTCACTTTTCATTGATCATCCTTTCTTAGAAACAAGAATTTCTCAGGAATGACATGTTTCCCTCCTAATTTTCAGAGGTGGTAGAGGGGAGGGTGGAAAAGCCACCACAACTGATAAAATAATCCAAGTAAAGGTAAAATCTGATGAAATGCCTGTAAGGCGAAATAAGTCTGCAGATTTTTTTTTTTTTCTTCCTTTTTTTTTCACCTTTCAAATATCCCGGGAGGGACAATCTCATGCTTTCCATCCCTAAAATCCTATTAGTCCCTAATCAAACCAACCTCAGGTAACTGTTGACCATCAAACTTGGATCCCCTGAGTAGGAATCAAACCTGGGACCTCCCGATCATAGGAAAATGCAGAACAAGTAATCTGATATTATTTAAAATTCCCTGAAATGTTCCCTGGTTTTTTCAGACACTATCCATTCTGCATTTTCTGCATCCCTTGATTTTCTCATCATAATCACATAATAAAGTAGAAACAATTTGCAAAGACTTTAAGTATTCTTGATAAACCCGGACTCTGTAAGTAGGCAACTACTACATATATTTGATGCACCTACTATTTATATTATTTTGAATCTGTAGATCATTTTGGAGACTTTTCCCCTCATAATGTTTTGCCATTTTCATCTACTTTGCTATCTACTCATGCTTATCTTTTATTGTTTCTTGCAGCCTAACTGTACCCACTCCAGCTGATGGCGAGATTTTACTCGACTTTTCCAAAAACCGCATCGATAAGGAGCTGTTTTCTCTTCTTGTCGACTTGGTAAGTGCCAAAAAAATGAATGTAATCCAAAGAAGATTTTCCCTCCTTAAATTTTGGAAGCCTCCGCCTAGCCTTTACACAGAAAAAGACGGTCTCTGATTAAAAATATTACCCATTTACCTAGAACTGAAAAAGAATTTAGATGCGGACTAGTTATGTACTGATAATGATCAGAATCGCTAGAAAAAATCGACCCGGGGTATAGGTCTCAATCATCTCCGTAGAATTCTTCATTCCATCCTCCATACGACAAGTTTTTTCAAATGAAAGACTGACAAACAAAAGTATTTCTAGGTTTATACTTCTCATATTTTGTGGCATATTTTTTTTGTGTTGAAAATAACGATTAAATAACCATTTAAGGGAACAAAGACTTTCTCTCGACAAGATTTACCATGATAATAACTTTATTACTACTTACTTCTCTCAAGAAACGAATGAGCACCGATCAGAAATTTTAGTCTCAGAGAGATTAAGGCTCCTTTGAAATTTTTATTGGATGTCAAATTTAAAAAAAAATTGAAAATCAGAGTCATCTATCGATACTCAATAGTCCTAATTCCAAGACCTGTATAAGGGTTGCCACAGTCAGGGAATACCGGGAAATGTCAGGGAATTTTAAAACATCAGGGAAAACCATGAAATATTGAGGAAAAAGATTAAAATATCAGGGAAAAATTGTTATGTCATCTTTAATTTTTTAAGTGTGATTATTTTTGTAATTTTCTTTTTGTAAAAATAAATAAATAAATTGCTTTTTAGAATGGGTTTGACGTTACAAATAACAAATTTTGCATGAAACTTATCCCTAATTATGTCTTTTTAACTATGTGGCATCTCTTCAATTGTCAGAGAATTTCACCAAAATGTGTCTGGGATATCAGGGAAATGTTAAGGAATTTCAGTTTTTAAATTCTGTGATAACCTTGGAAACTAGAACTCTTCTCTCAAATGTTTACCTTACAATAAATCTACGCTCTTTATGAGCTGTCGGCATGAAAGTCTCTCCTATAAATAACTGCTCGAGTCATTCAATTAATTTTACAAATCGCTATTCTCCTTTTTATTATTTATGAATTTTACTCACAGTATTGTAATTTTTTCAGGCCAAAGCACGCAAAGTGGAGGCAGCCCGTGATGCTATGTTCTCTGGCCAAAAGATCAACTTCACAGAAAACCGAGCTGTCCTTCATATTGCCTTACGTAACTTGAGCAATACACCTATTCTAGTGGATGGCAAGGATGTGGTTCCTGAAGTGAATGCAGTTCTCAAACACATGAAAGAATTTACCACAGAGGTAAATACCATCTCATCCTAATCTTTTAGACATAATGGTAGTGTTTTGATTAAACTCGTAACGCTTTTAAGTGTCAAAACTTTAAAGATTTTGAAAAGCTAAAGCAACTCAAGAGTAATAAATTCCTCTTGAAAAAGGACCCTACAACAAAACGGCCAAATCGGCCTAAACACGGAATCGTACGATTTTCTCAGGGATGATGGAGGGTCTTCCCAGACACTCAAAACTGGTCATATTTTTTGCCTAACCCCCAGGGAAAAGGGGGGAGAGGGGGTCAAAGTCAAAACCTTTAAATTAGCATAACTTCTCAACGGTTTGTCGTAAAAAGATGATCTTGGTGTCAAAATTTCCAGAAAAATGAGATCTTTCAGAATATATGTATGAAATTAATTAAATTTTAAAATTTGACCCACTTTTAGGGCATTTTACAAGGTCCCCCTTTCGTAAATTTTCGTTTTTTGAAATTTTCGGTTGTTCGGTTCGCACGGATCAAAACAAAAACAATTTCAAATAAAAGTAGAACGTTTAAGCTTTAAAAGAAGCCCAAGATAATCTTGGGGAAATGATTAGAAGCGGAGTTATGAGTCTTCAAAGTTGACGCGGCGCGCGGGAACGTTGTATGTTCCGAGTCTCAAGGTCACCTGCGCGCTCCGGATTGCCTGCAGGTTGCAAGTTTTTGTGTTTTTATGCTTCTGTAGGTCATTTTTAATGTAAATCATTCAATGAAGATATTTTAATTAGAATTTTTTAATTTTACACAATGGGCCTTCGGCGAGGCACACCACATTAACGTCAAAAAATTTTAACTGCGTTTCAAATAGCCCCCTCAAGAATAACTGAGACTTGTTTTGAAGATCAAAGCTCGTCTGCTTCAACGAGAAACTATTTGGCTTTACCAAGTGAGTTCCGTCAAGCGCTGTAGCTTATAGCTCAATTAAAAAATTTTAAAATTAGGGGTACCCCAAAATTTG